AGAGAAATAACTTGGCCTGGTGAAAGGAAAAAAAGAGCATATTAATGACTTGCACTCTATTCTTTTTCAAAAGTTACGTGTGACACTGTAATTTATTTGGTGGTTTTGAGGCTTAAGCAATCAACAAATTTACAACATAAAAGTTTGGACAACAGGAGTAACTTGGATTGAAATCAGTAAAGGGAGAAAGTAATTAATTAACGCACCCTCTATCAGCTTCATGGCTATGTTAAAGCTGAAAGTGACAATGATCCTTGCAGTTGAATAAACAATCTAAGCAGTTGAAAAAGAACCTGAACAAATTCAGGCTTGACTGGGAATGAAACCCTGACCTTTGCGGCCACTGTACACAGTACTCTATCCATTATTTGAGAGGTCGACCATATTCTTTTTTTTAAGAATATACCATAAAATTCCGAAAATAAGCCCCGGGGCTTATATCTTTCAAAGGCCCTTTTTGAGGGGCTTATATTCGGAGGGGCTTATCTACGGAGGGAAATTTGCGTTTCAAAATTGATTGGGCTAGCCATGTAGTTGGAAGTAAATTTACTGTTTTTGCTTTGTTTTACTTTGTATTTGAGGGCAATTTTCCAAGTACAAGCCCCCCAGGGGGCTTATATTTGGAGGGGCAATTTAACGGAGGGTTTTCTGCGTTACCCGTTTGGGGAGCTTATACTTGGAGGGACTTATACATGGAGGGGCTTATTTTCAGAATTTTACGGTATTAAACAATCTTGATACAGCTGTAGCAGGCAAAGGCTTCAAAACTGACTTACGGAAATCCCCCACAAGCCACTACTACCAGAGAAGGAACGCTCACCTTTTTAAAAGCATAGTTAGCTGTTAATCCCAGGTCTCCTACATTGCTCCGCCCATGACCATTGGAAATATCAAAAGTACCATAACGGAAGGGTACATCACACACATCATGCAGCAGAATCTGTGCTGTGTAATACCATTGCTCACAATTATCCAAAAGCATCCACTCAGTGTTCGCTGGAAACAGTTGATGAAGACCTAGAATTTCACTACCAGGACCCGCACCAAGACAGCAGACATGTAACCTACAAAGTAAGGAGAGTGAAAGTGGATTTCTACTAAATACTGGTGCCAAAACTCTCAAGCTGCTCTTTAATTTACATAAAAATTAAGTGAAGATAAAGATAACAACAAAGGTGGAGGCGGTATTGACCATGACGACAATGACTACTACTACTACCACTACTAAGTACTAGAAAGTGTTCTTAAGATTTCACTGTTCTTGACAGCCAAGTATTTTGCCCTTCCTTGTTTAGGCCTCCAGAATTTTCCTTTCTATAAATGCAACAGATATTGTTGGTACAATGTACTTACAGCCAAATTCGTTGTATCACGCTGCATGTTTGCAAACTTCGAATGGGTTTTCTTTTCCGTCAATCATTTGAGCAGGGATGGAGTTAATGCAAATCACAATGCAACGCACTCGCCCAGCTTGGCCTGAGAATGACCCTAAACTGCTCAAGAATAGCGAAGGAAATCACGATGATGAGTGGAATTTTTGTCGAGGGCAGGAGGCAGACATTGCTTTATTCTTGCTAGAGACAAGAATAAGAAAGATCATAAAAGCTTTGAAGAAACCTAGTCACTCTTGCGCGAAACAGAGCGATCACAAGCAGTGAAAGTTGAAACACAGAAACAAAATAAGTGGATCGAAATGCACCAATCACAAGTAAACATGTGTTTCCTACGAGGTCTGCTAAGATGATTGACAGAACAGAAAAACCCAAAATTCTCTCGAAGTTTGCAAAACGCTCAGCACACTACAATGAATTTGGCTATAACAGCATTACATAGTGACTATCACTAAGAACATATTCAGCTTTGCGAAGAATCGACTCACAAAATTAATGTAATAAACACCAAAGTTAACCAACTTCATTAAATCTGTAATCATTAACTCAAAAGATTTCTCTGTTTCTGATTGGCTCAATCCCCCAGCTAATTCTTCATAATCAGCTACTGTTTACCAAATTTTGATGACATTTTCAGATACTGACCTACAATGGACATCAATCATACAGAAGATTCACAAGAAAAGGGACTGCAGAAGACAGGGTACCTACATTGTTTTGGTAGAGCTTGAAAATGGTGGATGATTAACATTTTGCAAGGAAGATATAGTCAAACTACTACCCAAAAACATCACGATAACAAAATAGCTAAAATACAATATATGTACATGTATCACTATCTTGATGTTTGATGATAATATCATTATTGATGCTATTTGAAATCTGCTGACTAAACATTCCTTTAATATTATAATCTAAATTTGCAGAGGCATAGTCAATTGAAGACAAGAACTTTGTATTGATCGTGGTGAGCATCTTTTTATGTCTGAAATATTTTGAATGAAAAATTAAAAAAATAATTACCGATATTGGATTCAGCTTTTGCATGATATGCCTAATTCATGTTTTTTGTACATTAAGAGCATAAAATAGCTAAAACTTCAGTAATTTATCCACTTGTTTAAAAGTTGGGAAGCAATGTTCAAAGGGTAAATTGCTATGCCCAGTAAATAAGAATTAGGAAAATGAAATGCATAATCCACTTCACTGTTGAGAGAATTATGTAGTGTTCACCTTTTACTTTTATAACTACTGACCTTTCTTTACTGCGACTGTTCTTTATGAACTCTGTCAAAGGTTCAAATCGACCTGAAGTGAAGGTGGCTTGTACAAGGGTGGCATGGGCTGCTGTATAGGTACCAAGATAGGCCCAGCGAGACTCAGCATCATTGAAATGGATCTGGTCTGTTGCCTGACTAGAAAACAGCTGGGAAACTCGGAGAAGTTTATCTCGCAGTGCAGTGTTCCAGAATTGAGGGTTAGATTGGAGAAGCTGAAGTTCTAGTTTGGTTTTTTCCTCCAACTGGCTAAATGAAGTCTTGAGAGCTTGAAGCACCTTTGCACAGAATGATTCTGCAATACAATGTCAAAAAGTGGGAGGGTATGAAAGTAGCAAAAACCTCCAGCAAAAATTACATTGTTGTATTTGTCTCTTAGCTCGGTACTAAATTTATCCCCACAAAATCAATTCAACTACTTTATTTTTATTTATTATTATTGTTGTTATTATTTTACTTTATTTTTGTTCTTATAACACCATGATTGTTAAACATAATTAAGAGTAGGGAATGTTTATTACCAAAATATACGAGTAAAATAACCCCTGGGTAAATATGTACATATATAACCTCTAATGGTCAACCACCTGAAATAAATTCCTTTAGCTAAAAAATGGGCAAAAATGTGCAAAACTGTTACGGGGAAGTGGGTAAAAAGTACTTTTAAGGGAAGTACCATTTAATCCATCACTCTAAACCACCCATGATGCATCTGTCATGCTTACCCTATAATCATGACATGGCAAAATTCCTACAGTATACCTGTCAACTCACACACATTATACATGTCTCACAGGCCTGTGGATCGAAAACATTGATCACATGCATCCAGGACAATTTCACAAGCATAAGTCACTATTCCTGACTACTTGCTCTGTAACCACTGACGTGACATTGCCAAGACATTCGTGATCTCAGCAAGATCTCATGATACCTCATCTCAATAATCTCGCCAAGAATAGATATGCATGGTCTCGGAAAGGGGTGCCAAGATTTGGCGTTTCACTAATGTTAGTAAGTGGTCAGAACATCTTCGGCGCCATTCAGGAGTTCATCTGATTGTTTTTTCAGTAGTTTGGGAAATGTGGATCCGAAAGCACACATTTCACTTAGGTAAAGTTGTTAAGTTCACTAGAGTAAAATTAACTTTCACAGCAATGTGTCAAATAATCAAAAACAATTTTAATAATAAGTGCAAAGAGGCATGCATTTTTCTCTTTTATGTACAATACCGGTATCCCACGCTTTTCTCACTCAACTTTCCAAAAAGTAATTTTTGTCTCTAGTTTTTGACAAAACAAATCATTTCTAGCAAAATCGGAAAGAAATACAGAAACAAGAGTAAATGGATTACACAACACAGGAAAGGCGGCCTGAGGGACCAATAGATTCTTAAGTTGACGTATTAATTCAAGCTTCAGCATTGGTAATGATAAATATTGATTGACAACACAAACAAACTGAAATACTTTCATCACCAGACAAGCGATTCTGGATCAACTGACATGTATGTTGTTTCCGCTTGAAAAAGGAACAGAGGAAACGTACCGTTTTGAGATGCAAATATTACCTGATCATAAAATAATGAACTCGTCTACACAAGAACAAGGGGTCAAAACTAAAATACCTGCAAATATAATATGCACTTGCGCTTACCGTCTAAGCCGGTGCTGATACATTTTCCCTTGTGAAGTCCCGTTTCATTGATCGCGTTCAATTGTAGTTGCTGTGTTGTTTCCTTAGTTCGTATCCGGCCATTTTTGCATGATGAAGCAGATGATTGCGTATCTGTAAATCCGTTTGTAACAACTGACGCGTACGTTGCTCCCTGTTGCGAAACAGTTTCATAGCCAACACCTGTCCTTAAACTTTTGTTGTCATCACCCAAAGCCGGTTCCTGTTGAAGTTTCTCCTCGTACCGATTTCGAACTTCTCTCTTGTACTGTGCGATATCTCGGCGAAGTTGGCACTCGAAGCAATCCTTCAACGTGTCGTGAGGTTTGTGCTTACGCCAGCTGATGAACGAGGGCAAATATTTAAAATGTCGACAAACTGAGCACTGGCGAATGATGACACTGGAATGATAGCCTGTCTGAAAAAGCCCCTGAGCCTCAAACTTTGCTGCACAATCGATGCAGTTGCGAGTTTTCTTGTCACCGAACCACTCTGCAATTTTAAACATACACAGAGGGGCTTTTTTTAAACAGCTCTGGCACTCCTGAAGTCGGTCGTAAACACAATCACAGCAAACAAGATAAGTGTTTTCTTTTACAGATTCGTCTTGGCCTGTTTCGTGCCCTCTCGCTTTCTCCGCAAAAGATGGATGAATCTTAGTTATATTGAAGAAATCCTCATGCCTTCTTCCTGTATGATCACAGTTAAAGCATCGCAAGACCTCCATCGGACTATTCGTTGAGATTCGAGGAAGAAAACAGCGAAAGAGACTGTCGCAAGAAAGAGGAACCGGTCGATCGATACAAAAGTCTTGTGAAACACAAAGACCATAATACCTTGCGGTCTTCATACTAATCCCCAGTCCTTCACACAGTCGTTGGAAGAGAAACTCGCGCTTGATCGTGAAAGAATTTTTTAAAGAATAATGAGAAGCATTTGGTTTTACTCAAGCCTAAATAACGTTTGTTTTAAAATAAACTTATATTCGGGTGATGACGACTAATTCTTTAATTGTACAACAAGGTTCGCGCTTATCAATTCAGTCTTTGGAGAAACTTATCTACAAGAAGAAGAGGAAGTGCCTTTATTTACCACACATTCATTTGTACACATAACCAAGACGAATAAGGTTAGTTTTGTAAGTAGAGGCCCAAACAGAAAAAAAGTAAAAAAGTATGGATTCACTAGAGACAAATATAATGTTCGCAAAGTTTTAGTAAATAAATAGAAACTGGATTTAGGAATAATTCTTACGAATTTAGAAAGGCTTCCGTCAATACTCGGAAATGAGCTGATTTAATCAGAATGATCTACTCTTATCTCTCCCCAAATATTACGATTAACTTTCCCAGTCGCTCGTAATACTTAGTGCAAACGTAGAACAATGACTGCAATATCTCACGAATATGCGCCAAGAACGAGTGAAATATTACAACATGTTCCCGCCACTTGAACTTAAAATAGATATCTTTGAGTTAACGCTGGCGTATAAAAGTGTACAAACTTTTTTATGCATGCAGGAGATTGAACATACAGTTAGTTTGAATACTTAAAGTGTTGATAGGAAAAGAAAAAAAACGTGCAATGAAGATACTCCAGTTTTTCACACCAAACAAGTAAAGGAAGTTTCTCCAAAGACTGAATACTTTCAAGGGATGCATTCAGCTGCGATTCACTTAAAACGGTTAGTCCCCTGGATCCGCCACTACCCCGTTATGGGAGGGGACGGGCTGGTATAGCGCCGTTGTTACACCACGGCTGAGTGCTAGATGGAATTATCCACACGTGTTTCTTTTGGCAAATCAATCAAAAAGTGTAAGTGTGGGAAATACACTATTGCTTGTTTTCCAACAGCGTTTAGGAATATTTATCTCCTACAAGCTGGCGCACACAGGTGAAGTGACGACGCTGATAATTCATGGGGTAACAAGGGTCAAACGAACCAAGATTTAATTTACGCTAAGAAAATACCCACAAAAAATTGAGTATTTGAGTTTGTTTTGTGGTGATGTACAAATGTGTTTTGTTGAGGACATATAGTACAGATATAATACAGCGCTGTTCTAATGAGACATCAATAATTTGCCCAGTTCCTAGCTCTCGTTGCAGTCCGCTGCATGCAGTTCATGAATACGTCTTACCACATACTCGGCAACTACAGTATGTTATAATCTTAACTTTTTTAACGACTCGACTTGGTGGGTTTCTTTGGGGGCAGTTTAACACTACAGTGTTGATCTTAGAAGAAACGGGAGTGCAAGTGGAGCAAGATTCAAAAGTTTTTCTCCCATACGGAATGTAAAACGAACGACACTGTCCATAGCATAAATTGTTTAAAATTGTTTTTTCTTCGCATCCGCGCCGGCGAATAGTTTGTTCAAATTGCTTCATTCTACACCAGGGCTGGCCAAGGTCATGACGTGTTAAAGGAAATTCTTTGCCTTTTCCTATTGAAGGGCTCCATCCCGACGCAGGCTTATTTCCTTGAGAGTCTACCAACGCTAGGAGCGCAAACATCGATAAAATCAGTCCTTTTTCTCTATATCGCATTTTGAAGTGCAGCTGTGATCAAAATTGAGCTGTAAAGGCAAAAAAAGTAAGTGCATTAGCTTTGGTTGACTCAATTTAAGGTACTAGAACGGTGTTAATAGTCATGCAACCCAGTTAGGAGTGCGCAGACACATCAATACTCTGTTCCACGTTAATAGCAAGGCATTATTCTGCTCCTCAGTTACGATTCCTGGTTTTTGTTGAAAAGAGTTTCTTCTACTCTCAAGCAAGATTTCACTAAATTGCATAGAAAGTTGCGAAGTTTTTTGATGTGCGTGCCAAAGATAAGTGCATCCGGGAGAGTAGAACAACACCTGTAATCTAGAGCTCTGACATCTTTCTAGAATCAAAGCATGTCGAGGGGCTTGCTCCCTGAGGGCCTGGGGGGGGAAGGCTCCGCCCAAAAGTACCTTTTTTAGGCTTTAGGTATATAAAAGGGTAGGGAATTCTATCAGTATTTGAAAGGCCCTTTAGTGAAACTGTTTCGAAAAGATGCACCTAATGGCTATATTCGTTTAACACAAACGTTATGCGAAAATCACAAGAAGATTTCCTGGTTTGGTCATTGAAAGAATACCATTTTTTTAATGGAACTACGAATGAGGTACCTTTTCTTTCAAAAATGGTATATAAAGGGTAAAGGAATTGGATCTTGGCGCGGAGCAGTCTTCTTTTAGAAGTCCCCCCGGGACCTGCTCACAGAAATGACTACTAGCCTGCAATCCAAGCCATATTAATAGGTTCTTAAACGGAGATAGACGTAAACACGGCCTTTTACTAAAATTGGTTCAGGCACAGCTTGTCAGGAAGTTCGCAAGTGATATGGTCACAGCTAGCCTACAAAGCTTTATCAAAACCTCATCTTCGAAAACTAGAGGAAAAGGAAGTCTAGGAATGAAACTGGGCAAGTTGAACTACAGTGGCTACCGAAACCAAATTCATAGAAATTTATGCCATCGTAATAAAATTAGAATATTATCGATTATTAAACTCGATTTCTCAGTTCCATAACAATGACAGTAATTAATAATAACAAAAAATAATAAGTCGAATTCATATTTAGCTTTAGAAACGCTTTCCTCTGACCCTTTGACTGGTCTTTTTTTTAAAACTTGGAATCAATGCTGATATCTTGGATAATCATAGCTAAAGCTTGCCAGCTGCTTGTAGTGGCATGGCGGTTGTACATTAGTGCGATCGCCTTCCTTTTAACATTTAACAGCAGCCATTTGTAACATAACTCTCACAGGTTTGCCTCAATGATGTTCCACAGTGGATTGAGGAAGAAATCAGTCAATAAAAAAGAACCAACAACGCGAACAAGGCTTTGGAGTCGAGTAATTTTCAATATTTCTAGGTAAGTTGAGTAACCCCTTTTCAGAGAGGTTGCTGCTTTGTTACTGGTGCACCCCAGGAAAATCAGATTTAAAAATAATTACGGATGCTTACTTGTATTTATCCCACGAGTCTCCTGTGGCTCAGTGGTAGAGCATCTGCACTAGTAACCTAAAGACTCCTACTGGCACTACTTGCGGTGTATTTCGTCCGAGTCGCTTGCGTCACTGACTGAAAACACATTTTTTCTTATAAATAAAAGGTATTTTCATGTGATGTATCGAATTACGTGGAAAAAGCTAATCTATTGGCAAAGACATAAAGGAATCGAGCATGTTTATATACTTCCAACAAAGCTGTCTGGCATTTTCTCGATTTTTTATAAGTGATCTCTGACAGAGAAAGGCCTGTCATCCTTTTGCATTCGTCCTCGGGTCGAAGATTGCGTTGCTTTTTTTTCAATATATATTCATTAACAGCTCAAAAAAACCTATGGTTTCTTTTTTCAATCATTTGTCATAACAAATCATCTAGCATGACTTTAATTTATATCTCACCAACTCTATTTAGAGTGAACAATCTTTAAAGCAGTAATTCAACCACTTTATACCGACTTCAGTATTAAAAATGTGCTGCCATTTTTATCCGTAGCAAAAGGGTTGCCCTGCCAACAGAGAAAGGAAAGATCAAAGCGACCCTGCTAGCAGGGTATAAAAGGGTCGACAGACTTGTTTATAAACGCCGACTTGTGTTTTCCAATTTCTTCGAGATATGTACTCAATGCAAAATTGTCATGACTCTCTACCTTATATCAAAAGATTTTGCATCATTAGGATCATAAGCGAGTTTAAAAGATTTCGAAAAATAAAAAGAATTCAACAAAAGTTCCCAATGAGGGAATAGCCCACTGGACTAAACGCTTCACTGGACTTTCTTTGTCATTACGTTTAAGTAAAAATTTAAAGAAGAAATAGATGCAAATGATTGTTCTACTTACTTACAATGACGAAAGAACACACCGAGGCACATGAATTCCTGTATAAGGTAAAAAACCAGATATATAAGCCATAAAGAACAATTACGTATTCCTTTAAGGTGCCGCTAATTTGAAACCAAGTGTCAACGATGTGAATAAGTTTATCTTCATCCTCAGTCATAAAATGTTGACATGCATATCACAAGGAAAACGAATCGCACGGTAAAGTCAAAACACGTCATACAGTTGGCGTCATTCGCGCTAAAATTACCGACAAGATGCGTGTTTCTATTCTTCAAAGCACGTTTTTCCTCTGGTTTTATTTTCTTATTTCGTCATACGTGATTTATTTTATTTTATTCTCAGGATATAGTTAAATTAGGATTTCACACAATTTAATTTTTGTTACTTTTTCTTCCCACGCGATTTAAGGACAAATTCGGAAACTAATTTTCCGATGGCGTCGTTGTAAGTTAAATAGGAAACAAACTATTTTAACGGTACTTCATAACTTAAAAGAAAATATGAAACTGGGGGTAGAATTTCAAGATGCCGTAAGCAAAAACACCTTAGATTGAAACTGAGATGCGCTAAAATGTTTTAACTTTAATTCCCTTATTGTTCAAAATGTGTATGTTACCGCGTCAAAAAGTTCAATACTTGGAGGTATCCTTCATTATTTTCTTTTTTAAAAAGTAATGAAAACAAAGCTGACGTACATCTCTATTCTTTCTGTGTACACTCGCAAACTTCGTGGGCGTTTTTTTTTGGCTACAATGTACTTAGAATCAGTTTGCCTAAGGTACCTTTGTCACCAGAACTACAGAGCTTGTGTAACATTGCTAACGACGGTTATTAGAAAAGTCATTTTATGTAAGTGCATATTATTCCTGTAAATGGAAATACCTTAATAAATTGTTATCGTTGTTGTTGCCTTTTGCGAAAAAAACACCTAGCGTACTATCTAGTGTCTTCTTCAGGAAGAGACGAATTAACGGGAAGTCTCAAAATTTCAAACTATTCAAATAATTCTTTTCGATTGTTTAACGCAGTGAAATTGTCAACAGGACGACTAGAGGAAATTAAGCAACCTAAAATGCGACCAATAAAGGTTCAATATTTGGTTTTGTTCTTCAACATGTTGAATTGTTCTTTTCATAACATGGCACCCACGACTAAAAATGCTAAAAATAATCCACGCGGATCACGAAAATCCTCAGAGGGTCAATATTTTGTCAGAAGTGGTAGATAGCTTTTTAAAATATTTTGTTGTATGAGTGTTATAGCTGTTCCTTTCGGGAAGTTACACATAATTGCTTAATCCTGTTACCTAAGAACGTCTTATAATTCCCCAATCAAATTAAATAAAAACCGATATCCTCACGGGATTTTTAGTACATGAAAATCTTGGAGCAATTTAGCGATGGCACAAATAATTCGGCTACGTGCGCATCTAAGACAGTAAAGAGCCTTTGATACACGGCCTTGCCCGTTCATAGGCCAGACGGCTATAAGCTGATGAGCCCTAACAAAGGCGAAACAGCTGTCCGTGGCTGCCACTGCGAGCGGGTGATATGGCTGTGCGCATGCGTGAAGTAATGGCCAGGCCGTGGGTTCGTGTTTGTGTGCCCCTTGCTTTATGTTTGTATGTTTGTTTGTCCTAACGTGTGCACCTGTACTATAAAGATAACCACTGCTGTGTTTTGCACTCGCTACTTTTTTTGCTCAAGAGGCCATTGTTTTTGTTGCTACAGGTATTGCTAGCATAAGTCACGGTAGCCTCACTGTTTTTAGTCTCGGTGTAAAAGGGCAGTATGAAAATTATTTCTTGTCCTGAATTTAACCAATAGACAAGAAGGTTTCAATTATTTTTACAGCCGCCATTAAATATCTTTCTTTAATTCAAGTTCTGACAACGAAGTCGGCCCATAACGGAACCCGTCAACTTCTCCTCGATTCTTCCTCGGGCCGATTTTTCCTCGGTTTGTGTGAGCTCAGTGACTCGTATAGTGTCTTCAGGCCACTGAACACCATGGGAAATCATGCACCTCTAAATATCTTGTGCCGTCAGTAGATAACTAAATTAGAAAAATTATAGAAAAAATATCTTGTTATGGCGCAGCTAGCTTTGTTTTCGTCATTGTTTATTTGGATTTTTGCCTTGTATTAAAAGATACCGCCTAGGCAGCTGTCTCTAAAGTATATGAAACGACATAACTCTTGCGAAGCCTGGTAAACAGTTTATCCAATCAAAGCTCGTAAATGATATGATTAGGAATAATTAACATGCGATGACATCTTCTCTGCCTCTAAAGCACAGCTGAAGTGACTTCTGGGTGAACTGATTAATCTAGAGCTCCGCGAATGATGCTCTAGTTTACACAACTATAATTGTATATTGTTTTGTTGCTGGCCGGTAATGTTTAATAACTAAGAAAACAAAGAAATGTAATTTAAACAGAGCAATAAGGATAGGATGCGAGCTGATCCTTTTGTTTTAATTTTACAACCAAGACAGTAAGCTAAAAGCAGCAAAATTGCCTTCACAAAGATGGCCGTAGATAGGTCAGACACTAGAAGTATCTCAGCTGAGGATTTTTCGTAAGTATCATATTCAGATTGCAGATTTTTAAAATTTGTTTTGCACTGTTTCAAGAGGTTACTACCAAAATTACAATATAATTAAAAAGCAAGAAAATATATAACAATAAATTAGATAAATCATGAAAGGCAAAATGTGAGCAATGACCAAAGGTGGAGCTTACTTCTTTCGAGTTGGTCACTGCCAAGTAAAACTAACTGGAGTAGACATTTATACAAAGCTGATATATAGATTTAGCCAGGGCTAAAAGCGAAGCTCTCGACAGTATAAAAAGTTGGCTCAAGCAAAATATAAAATTGTGTAATGCTAAACGACAAAGGTCTAATTAGCAAAAAAGCAAGTTTGCACGCGCAGCACACGATTTTTGTACATTTCTTTGCCGTTGGTTTGCACGACTACAATGTGAGACTTCCAGAAACTTCCTAGTTACGTTTTATGGAGGAAAGGTCGTACGTGTTCTTGTTCACTTTTCTTTTTTTTTCACTGCCGCTTTTCATCCCGGTGGCCGATAGCATTTCTCATTTTCTTACCGCCGCTACAAAATTTTCATGTTGTTCTTCCAGCAAAAAATGTATCCTTTGTTTTTTAACTCTTGCTCTAGCTCTCTGTCGCTCTTTTTCTCGTTGAACTTCGCAGGCCTATCGCCTACTTTCTCTTTTTCTCTGTCTTTCTCTTTCTCTATATTCCAAATTATTAGACAGGATAATTAATCTAAACTTAATACTTTAGACAACACGGATACAGAAACAATTCTCGCTTTCCGTTTTCGTGTTTATTGACGCCTTTAGTTGTCTCTACTTCACAAAACGCGGGTGGTTATGCGATTTCCCGACAAAATAACCTCGAGTTTCATTTGGGTTGCCATATCTGTTGATTGAGTTATTTTACATTGGTATGCCTCTGGTGCGGACGGAGGGGGGTACGGTCACGTGATAACCAAAATTTCTCTGATAGGTAGATTAGCACATTGTCTTATGTATGGGGCTACGCTCGCGCGTGCGCATGGAGCTCCGCTATCATTGAGGTCTCAATGAAATGAACAAGCCTAAGTAATAAGTTTGATATGTACTTATTATTGGAAAGGAGTGTAGGATCTGTTTATGGTCTCAAGCAATTGATGGTAATCAATTTTCTGCGAAGAAATGGAAACGCACGTGTTTCTGGAAACCAGAGGTTCTCACTGGGGCCTTGACGATGTTACAGAAAATTCTTGTAGACCCTTCGAAATGACTATCATGGGCATTGTGATTCTTCTACACGAATTCGGCTTCATTTTTAGGCCTCTGAGTCATTCAATATTCATTTCGTTGACTCTCCAACTTCTCATTTACAAAAGATTGCAAGTCCCGCCGCACTTTAAGTAATTTATATTTATTGGTAATTTATAGTGTGTCTCGAAAGATAAGAGCTCGGCAACTTTTAAAAATGTGATCATTTATTTCTAAAAAAAAACTCATTGCGATGGAGTATTGCCAACATATTACGCAGGCGAACTCCCTAAGTCAAGCACTCACGACAGGTCTTACATCCATTTCATATCTCAGATGATTTTCCATAAAATTGCAAATAAAACAACTCTGAGCTTTTTTGGTCTCAAGTTTCAAAGGCTCTTATTGGAGCACAGTCAGATAAATTTGGACTTCTTGCTTGATCTCCGTCAAGCGACAGTCATCGTTCTGAACCTGTCCCGTAACCAGACGTCTATCTCTCAATGCTCGCAAAGAAAGGCGGGAAGAAGAAAACGGGCGAGATGTGCTTCGCCTTTCCCCTTTTTCTTTCCCATTGTCCCTTGCGCTTCGTCACCACTCACTCGCTTTTCGTGCTTATCTCTTTACGATAAACGAAGCGCCTGAGGAGGTGGCAGGCTCTGAACGCTAAAGGGTTTTGAGACGAATCGCATTTTTTTACTTTGGGGACTGTCACTATCACAAGTATTTACCCATTTCAAGTTGTCATCCCTCAAAAGCCAAATGGCGATATCAGCGCATAAAACTGTATCTCAGGGGAACGTTTCTCCTTTTCTGTAAGATCAAAAGCCAGGAGGATAAAGTGTAATTCTTTTTTAGTCTACGAGTGGTTAATTGTAGGAACATGGATCGGAATTTATACGACACAAAAATTACACAAACCTTCACGTATCTTTTCGATGATATTAATATGAAGACATGGCTAAACCACATCGAAATGAACGACCTGTATGTGCTTCCGAAAAGGAAATGTATGAATAAGCAGAGCATGCTTAAGTTCTTGCTGAATCAACGTAAATTACAGTCTTTTACCTTTTTTTCTGTTTTTTTATTTATTTATTTATTTATTTTTTTTTTTTTTTCATCTTTCAGTTGTCTTCCTGGAGCGGTCAATTATACCGCGGCCGATAGTAGTTGCGAGAGGAAAAATGATTTGTTCAATCAACAGGCAAAAGAACATACAAATTCATTCCCAGAAGACAATGAAGAAGAGCGTCCTTCATCATTGAGAAGGCTGGTGTCAAATTTTGCAGCCTCCACTACAGCGCATGGTGTAGCAAACATAGCCGCTGCAAAGAGTTTGCCAAAGCGCATGGTGTGGCTTGTGGTTACGGTCGCGTTATATGCGGTTTTACTTCTGATGTGTTGTCAGTTGATTGTAAGGTACAAGATGAAACCTGTAGTATCCAGAATGGAGATGAGCTTTGAAGAGGTACAAAAACGAGCTCATATAAGTGTCACAGGAAGGAGCTAATTTGTGCGTGGCTTAGGTTTTATTTAAAGGGAACCTCCACTTCAACAAAAAGATAACTTTAAATCACAGGAAATAACTGTTACAGTCAAGTCAATCTAAAATATTTTTTAAAAAAGCGTTTGTATCCGAAAGAAATAACTTTTAGATTCGCCTATTTTTGTTTTCAAATTTTGCGGGCGTCGCCATCTTGAATAATTGTGACGTGTTACGGTTGCCCTATTGTTATTAAACAAAAGCTCTTTGTGTCAGAACAATAGAGCAACCATAACACGTCACAATTATTCAAGAAGGCGGCGCCCGCGAAATTTGAAAGTGAAAATAAGCGATTTTAAAATTCACTTTTCCTGATATAAACACTTTTTTAAGGACAAATTTGGAACAAATTTGTTTATCAACATAATTTTATTCGATTTAAACTTATTCTGTAGTAAGAGTGGAGGTTCCCTTTAACACCTAAAAGATTCTTTCCTAAAAGACGTATAAATAAGTCAAATCATCATCATCATCATCAGTCCGCTTCATTCCCGACGAAACACAGATCCTCTACTAATGTTTGCCATGTGACTCTATGAGTAGTGACGCCTTACGCCAACTAAGTCCTTTCTCCTCATGTTCTAACATCCTTGTGCACTTCCATGTATGTCGGAGTGCTTCTCTCTTTTCCTTCCCTGTGGGGTTCATTCAAGGGCATTCTTGGCCACATGTTAATAATAATAATAATAACATTTATTTATACCGCGCAAATTCAACTATACAGTTTTCAAATGCGCCTTACAATTAAAGATCTAAAAATATACCTTACAATTAAAGATCTAAAAATATACCGTTTAAAAAAAAAAAATTACAGCATTAAATTACATTACATTATATCGTCCGTTGCATTCAGTGTGTGGCTTATCCATCACCATACTCGTTGTTCTATCTCTTCCTGTATCGGTCGCTGTCCTGCCTGTCTCCAGAGCTCTTTAATACAGATTCTTCTGGGTCACCAAACAACCAGGATGCTCCTAAGGCACCTGTTAATAAAAACCTGTAACTTCTGCTTCAGCCCTTTAGTCGATCTCCACGTTTCTGCACTATGCAAGAGCACGGCCTTCTTATTTCACCCATCGCATACCTGGGTGTCCCCCCCAACCCCCCTTCTTCTTACTACTTACAATGCACGGAGGTACTTGGAATCGTCTACCTTCTCAATTAGCTCCCTTACAATCATCACACGCCTAATACCGCTTTATGAACACAACCGAATTTGACCCTATCGCCCACACTTTATCAACAACTTAACTAATACATTCACACTGAGCTGACTTCACAATTCACGTTGCTTTTTAGCATCCTCTTTCGTTCATCAAAAATACTACAGCTGAGTTCTAAAAGATTTTTGTTTTCTACTTTTAGTCTCTCGACTTTCCCACCGTCACAATTTGCAACTTAAATATGCTACGGCGAAATATGCTATCCAAAAAAGCTGCAATTGATAAAATAGTCAAGAACATAGAAAAGAGGCGACTCGAGGAACAAGCAAATCAGTCCAACAGTCAGCTATCAAACAAGACAAACAGGACGTATCCAAGTGTCGAAACCATGAAAATCAATATAAAGGAATTGATATTGGCCAAGGCGAAAACCTCCGAAGACAGGGAGATATTTTCACACGTAAGAATAGACACTGGGTCCCTGGAGAAAACCTTACTAGACATGACAATGAAGAATATTTCAGAGGATGAGCTGATTTCACTTGGACACGGCCTGAATGAGATGATAAAATACTGTCGATGGTCTTATTACAGTTGTCATGAAGGGTAAGGCTTTAGTTCAAATGGTAGAGTCACCAATAGAATTTCATTCAGCTCCTCGATATGTTAAACACGTTTCATGTCCCTATCACTAATTTTTGCAGTAAATGAGGATGTAACATTGTGATTAATTAGGGGAGAAAAACGGCCTTAAACTATGTACTGGGTGGAGCAAACACAACTTACATTTTCCCATATCAAATGCAAAAATTCATATAACAGTATACAATAAATTTAAAAGCCTACTGAAAACTTCATAGCATCCTTATCTTCAAAAGCGAGAAGTAATTTTTTTTCCACAAAAACTTTCTTTTCATTTGTCCAAAAACTAAATTTCATACTTTTTTACCTTTCTTTAAACTCGTAGTAGTCTTAAGAGGCTCTGGAGGCATTTCTGGCACTGGAAGTATGGAAATTGTTACGTGTTTAACTCAGGACTGTCTGCAAATGGTAAGAAGCTTCCAGTGATTACTACAGATACTGCTGGACCTTATAACGGTCAGTTCGCAAAATAATGTTCTCAACTTTTCAATGCTGAAGTGTGAACACAACCAAAGTAATTCCAACACCTTTTTCTCGTCTCCCCTTACTTTTAGGCAATGGCGATTGAAGAACTAGTAATGGCGCGTGGGAGGCGAAATATGTACCTTTTAAACTGATATACCCACCAAAAGCCAAAAAATACTGTCGTTTCTACAAACAACCAGTTAAACTTCAGTTTATTCAAGCGTAATGAGAAAATCTTTGAAATAATTTAAAAGCGAGCTGGTTATAAGCAAGAAAACGAGGAATGCATGTAATATGCATATTTAAAAAAAAATTACGTTTTATCAAACACTAGCTAAGGATGAAAGGTTACTTATTTGTCCGCGTGTAAGCGACCCTAGCTAAAAATGACCATGTGGTAATACTTCAGGTCTTGAGATGGACATCTTTATCAACCAGAAAGAGTACTCAAGTCTGACAGACGAAGCTGGTGTAAGAGTGGTTCTCACCGACCAGGGAAGAATGCCATTCCCTTTTGATGAGGGATTTAGTGTCCCCACTGGATTTTCAACGTCGGTTGGAATCAGAAAAGTAATTGAATGTTCTCAGTTAAATACCATACCATTTACCGTGCAATTTATCTTTTGACTTGATTTTCCTTGATCAAATGCTTTCCTTTCAATTACATCAAAAATTATGAATTTACTTTTTAAGTTTACATCCAAAATGGATAAAACACTGGCAGCTGTCACAAAATTTAATAATGCTATTTTAGTGTCTACTGCTATTCTAAGGTCTACTGGAAGTTATCCGAAAACGCCAAAATGTAACAGCGATTGTCTATAATGTTCATAAACGAAAGAAACCGTTTCGAACAATGACGAAGGAGAACGAAGACACAGGATCCTTTGTAAATCTGCTACTGGAAACTCTCTGGTTAGCCATGTGAAAAATGCCAGGAAGATTAGTAACTTATGCCTTTTCGCGTCCTTACCTTGTCCTCAGAGATACATTAAAAGGGTGGACCCACACTTAAACAACAGCTGCTTAGATGAAACCAGATCAGCCTACGACTCCCACATGGACATCTACGGTCAAAAGTATCACGTGAACTACTCATGTCAGGCAAGTTCCGATTTGCTATGCTTTACTTCTAATTTTAACTAATTCTTTACGCTCACATTAGGAAAAAGTACAAGAACAAGCCCGCAATGAAGTAATAAGGGTGGTAACTTAAAAGCAAGAGAAGAAAGAAAAGATCTATAAAGCTGAAAATAAACTTAAAAATACTCTAGGAGTGTTGTATAAACCAAAGGAAATGACCTACCTGAAGAAAAGCCTACGATAAATTGGTGACATTTATTTCGAATATGAAAACGTTACCATTTCAAATGCAGTGAATTTAATTATTCTTTTGCTTTCCTCTCGATTATCTAGGCCTGCAAAATGTCGTGTTTGGCAACCAAGCAAGTCGAATTATGTAATTGCTCTGAACCACGGTTTCCTATAAACAGTTCAGCATGCTTCAGTTTAGAACAAAGTAAGTCAAACTTGTTTCATCATTTTTTGTTTATTTCTTTGTTTTACCTTTTCCAAACCGGGGAAAGGATACCGCTTGTACTGATTTCGAAAGGGTTTAGCTTTGAAATCCAAGGCATTATAACATATTTTAACAGTGGCTCAATTTCCAAACACCTCTTTACGCAGAGGTCAAAATTATTCGAAAGATTGACAGCAGGATTTTTCATTTCAGTGGCAATATGGTTAACAGAAGCTGCTGCGTAATATTGAACGTCGTTTTCTTCTTTTCGTTCTTTCACTATTGTATCTACTACGCAATTTTTTGCCTGCCAATTACATAATTTAATCCAATTGTTTTGTTAAAGTAAGGGTATGATTTTTTAATTGAGAATTGAGGAAAAATAAGATCGTGGACCTTTTTTACGTTTTTGTAAGCTAAGTGCGGCTTGATTTCTTCCTGTTGATTATATTTCTCTAACCTTCTCTGGGCTCTTAACTTAAAAATGTTGTGCAAGTCTCTTATCTCCTTGAAAACGTCCTATTTCCCGCAACACAATCGACTAATCGAAAGGATAATTAATAATTAATGAATGAGGCTGAGTATCTTATAAAGAATTATGGCGAGCGAGGAGGATGTCATCCGTGGAGGCCGTAGACCGAGGTGGATGACACCCTCCTTCCTAGTTTAAAAACAAAGCTAAAACATGCTTACCTCCATCGATGTTAAGTTCACCTTCGATAGTGCACGTTTAGGGTTGCTCAGCTCCGCAAATGTTCACCAAATAGCAGATGTTGCCCTTCGACTTGTGTTCTTGCTGTTCTTGTCATGTTTTTAGCTATAATTTCGCCTAGTTGTTACTCTTGAAACGAGTGAAATGTCCGCCATTTTTTGTTTTCACAAACAAAACAACTCAGCCTCGTCCCCAGGTCTTCTCGGCTAACGGTGCATTAGAACGCTGTATTTTTGACGTCATTTCCTCGTTAAACACAAAATTCTTCCAAATTTGGTCATCAGTAACTGGTTATGGTGAATCATGCGTGTGCTTTTAGCCAATCAGAATCGGGGAAATATTTTGAATGAATAATAACAGTGCTTAGACAGCCTTACTGCGTATCACTAATAACATTTTGCAAGCCATTGATAACCATGAAGATACCATCCTCGTTCTACTTGACTTGTCTGCGGCGTTTGACACCATTGAACATCAAGTGTTATAGAATAGGTTACAGCAGAGATTTGGCTGTAGAGATCTGGCTCTTTTTAGCAAAATGGCTTGCTTCGTATCTAGTGGTCCGCAAACAATCAGTCCATATAAGATCTGCTGTCTCAGTGAATGGTCAGATGCGTTTTGGTGTTGCTTAAGGGTCAGTCCTGGGACCTGTCCTATTTTCCAAGTATGTTGTTCCGGTTGAGGATATTGTCCTTTCTCATGGCCTCTATCCTATGTTCTACGCTGACGATACTCAGATTCACCTCTCAATGGGGCTCAGCAATAGAAATACACCCATCGGTAAAATTGAAGATTGCATAAGCCACATTTATTTATTGGTTCATTGGTACTCTAATTACTTCCTGCTTCCCAACACAGCCAAGACCAAAGTTGTTCACTTTTCTTCAAATTTTTTAAACACCGACCCCATCCCTTCCATAAATATTGGTGCTTATACTATCCAAGTGGAGTCTGCAGTACGTGATCTTGGTGTCGTTTGAACGAAACATTTCGACAAGTCAACGCAAGTCAATAGTATCTGCAAATCGGCGTCCTTAGCGATAAGTAATATATATTGGAAAGATTATAAATTACTCAGATCAACCCACTGCAAGTAAACTTGACTTTTGCAACAGTCTCGGATTCAGTCTCTCGAAAAAGCAGCTTAATAAATTGTAACGTATTGTAAACGCTGCTGCTAGAATTAAGACTGAAACGCTTCAGCACATTTCTCCGGTATTGCGTAACCTGAATTGGCTCCCTGTTACCAAAGGGGTTGGATTTAAGATTCTGACCAAAACCTACAAAGTACTTAACGGAATGGCCCCGTCCAACATTTGTGATCTACTGCAGGTTCATCACCTTAACAGAAATCTTCGTTCTGCATCCAGGGGTCTGTCATTGCTAGTACCTAATCATCAGACACAGGCATACTGTGCTCGCTGTTTCTCTGTAACTGCACCTAGTAACTGGAATTCCTTGCCAGTAGACATTGAAAACGTGCAAACTTTGTTTCTCTTTAAAAGAAAGCTCAAAACAATTTTATTTAATCAATTCTAATTTAGTTTGTTCATTCTTTATATTTTATTTCTTACATTTGTAAAGGGCGCTAAGATTATGTAGCTGTGTTCTAGACGAATTTCACTATTATTATTATTATTATTATTATTATTATTGTTATTATTATTATCAAATATGAAAAAATAGAAGAAAAGAAATACCTCAGCTCAGCTCATACAAGAGAGGGACGGGTGGAAAAATTGAAAAGTGAGGAGGAATTTAAATTCGGCTTATTTAACTGTGCAGCCTGTCAGTTTTCCAATAATAGCACGGCTACTTACTATAGTATATTTTATGAAATGGAATTATAATTAACTGCCATAAAACACAGTACAGTCCCTTAAAGAAATACCCTACAACCTTTTTGATAAAAATGATAACTTTGCTCTCTTAACTTTTTTTTACTCAAACCAGATAAGTGCATAAGAAGAGTTAATGCCAAATTCACTACCACAGGCCTGGGTTGTGTTTCCAAGTGTCCGCAATTATGCATGTAAGAGTCATTACACCTCTACTGTCCAATGTTTATTAGAACAGTTGTGGTTTTGTAAATATTGAGCTCATAGGACTAAGTCTAAGTCATAAGTCTACGTTACACATTCCTTCCATATAGTTATTTTGAACCATCTTTAGCTCATAATTCGGTAAAGCATGAAGACCAATATTTTTTTGCATTGAGTAAACGGCTTTTCACAGCAATCACTAATAACTTCAGATGTTTCTCGATCCTTTAAGACGTGGTCGGGCTGTTTCCATACTTGCGCATTAATTGGATAATCGATTTGATATAGCAAAAGTAAAACAATTTAATGAATATTATGTCTTATGAAATTTATTTCAACTGACAACTGCAAAATAATCATGTGTTCTTCTCCACAGAGAAAACGTCTTCAGTTTCACAATCTCAAGTGCTCGATGGTCAAGATCGTTTAATGTGAGCCGAACTTACTTATCAGGGCCACCTGGGTAATGTTGGGAGTGTGAGTTTATTTCATGACTCTGATCCCTAAGGGAGAGCACAATTCTTTACAATCCTTCCATTGTTGCTCCTGTTTAACAAAACTCTTCGTTTCTATACACCCATGTTTTAAAAAATGATTGCAATAAATTTAAGTGCTTCCATGACCAAGTATTCATGTGTTGCTGTCTATTTTATGAAGACCTTCCACGCATCGATGAATCACCATTATTCAAGTAGAAACAGGGTCATTTCTTTGCTTTTTTGGCAGACTTGGATCATGAAAAAGTACAATATTCCGCCCTCCTCTCGAGGTGCGCGTGCTGCCCTGGCAAGGTAGTAAAGACCTTTAGATTCTAAGACGAGTACGACAACGAGTACCAGATTTTCTCAGTGCTAAGTAGTGCCCGCGCGTGACCCAGCGTCATTTTGGCAGGAAAACGTGGTAGCCATCGTCACTCTACTACGAGTTTTAGCAAGAATGTCGAAGTGGGGAAAACGAGTTATCAAATGTTAGAAGTTTTATCATTTTGCGATCGGGACAGCGTATAACCTCCTTCACTAGCAGTGCTAACTTTAGTGAACATGGTAAAATGAAGCTTTCCGGGGAGCCTATATTTTTTTGAGAATACAGGAAAAAAGTTTAAGTCAAATCTCGTACTCGTGGTCGTTCTCGTCCTAAGGTCTCCGTTGAGTGGTATCAAGAGAGAATGACAAGACAGAGAGGGAAACAGCAACTTTAGCCCTTAGGATATGTGAATTTGACGAAAGTTATTTTTAGACCAATTAAACGTTTAAATTAATAGAAGTTCGTTTCTGGAGAGGGCTGCAAACTTTTATAATTCATTGTTGTCAAGAGGGTTATCAACCATTGCCATCCCAAATTTCTACATTTTTCTCTTTGAGGGAGTCGCACGTGCTGCATGTGGACTTGATGACATGTCAGACAATCGATTAAAATTTGAAGAGGTGCCAGGAATTAGACTTCCGTTTAATTACCAGTCTGCGAAAACATCCGTTTCTCCTCGCTCTTCGCTGCTGGGAACGTTTCGCGCGGAGGAACGTCTACGACTCAGCGACATAAATTCTATACTGATGACGCAAATCAATGTTTATATTATAAATCCGGTAGTCATGGGGTTCCAAATATAAATTTGTCCAATTTTACGTGTTTCCTGGTCGATTTTGGTAAAGTGTTGTTTCCATCTGCCAACGAGCTCCGGCAAATCTCAACTGCTTCTTCTCGAGAAGACTATATTCCACAAACATTGACTGTTTTGTTAGAGATTCTTCGCGTTTACATTTGACCTTTGTGGTCTTTTGTCTTTTGTCTGTCATCCGTAAACAATGGCTAAAACAGTGTAACTACTCCGTCGACCAATCAGCTCTTCTGACCGGATTCCGGACAGATTTTACGTCATCAGTATGGAATTTCTGTCGCTGAGTCGCAGACGTTCCTCCGCGCAAAACGTCCCCAGCGGCGAAGAGCGAGGAGAAACGGATGTTTTCGCAGCCTATTTAATTACAACCCCTGAAAAAACTTCAGTGAATTTCACATAATCCCGGTCAATGCCCTAAGATTCCGTCCCATTCTCTCCTGGTAGTATGTTTTCAGGGATCAGGGTATAGGGATGCGATGAAAGAGGCAACTGTCAAGACAAGGAAGAACAACAACAACGAAAGCTCAGTTGTATCAGGAGCTCCTGGTTGTATGTAATTCTATACGGCTTTTTAATAGAATTTTAAAACAACAACAAAATATCTTTGTTGTCGACTCCAAGGGTGGTTGCGGCAGAGTAATAGCCAGATGCAACTGCAAAATGTTGCTGATAAATTCATTAATCCCTTAAATATAACTTTTTAGGCATGTAATTGTTACCTTTCTACATATTATTTATTCAAGACATGTACTTTATTAACTTATGTTTTCTTCCATTTATTTTATCAATAGCGAGAACTTTTTAAGGTTGCAAATATTCTACGAAGACCTGAGTGTGTCCAAAACCATTAATGAAGAATCGTACAAGGTAGATAAATTATTAAATTTAAGCTAATTTTTTTAGTCAGCTCAATCAAAATTGAATTCTTGTAAGAGAATCAGAAAATTGCTCAGGAGAATGACTTAATGACCATGTAGCACATTATTAATTTAGAGACTGATGTGATTGTTTCAACGCTTGCTTTGACTGTAAAATGAAATCGGTATACAACGTATATACTAGAAGAGACAAAACCTAGTGCAGTATGAAGAATTTCCACCTAGATCGCGGCTCTACGGCTACCATGGTATGCGTTTATTTCTCGCTAAACGACTACCACGTGTCTTCTATTATGACTGATCGCTAGACTATCGCTCCAGCAAATGTTAAAAGCAAATTTTAAACCAAAATAATTTTTCAGTGCAGAAGAAAACTAACACTTCATTTTCATTTGGTAAATGATGGAATGCAAATTTTGAGGATAAAATGAAAGACAAAGTCAAAAATCTACAATTAATTATCATTTTGAGAAGTTTTTTCCAGCCTCTGATTAGCTTTTCCCTTTTTAGCTTGGAACACAAAAATATTCCAGAAATGTTTTTTCTGTACTTCAAGGGAAAGACTATCTTGAAATCGTTATTTTCCCGTGAAATGATATAACAATAATATTATTCATAATAAAAATAATAATGATGACAACAATAGAAATAATATTTATTGTAATTATTATTATAAATATGATCAGAAGTATCGTGTTGTTAGCCAATGCATGAGGACATTCATATAAGTGCCCTTGTTCGAGTAAATTACGCTATGCTCTTATTGGCTGATTGCATTTAATGCTTTTTTTTTTATTTCAGCTTGAAAACCTCTTGGCTGATATCGGAGGCCAGTTGGGTTTGTGGATTGGTGTTTCAGTTATGACAGGTGTTGAAATTTTAGAGTTTATAAGCAACTTGTTAACCTACCTGTGTTCAAAACGTTTAGACAAATAGACCTCTTAAAACCTATTTAGTGGGTGATTCCAGTAGGTTTTTTTGGCCTGGGGGGAGCTAATGTTGATTTAGGAAGTTGGCTAAACGAGGGAACTAAGAAGCTAACTGAAAAGAAATTTCCAAGAAGCGTCATTAAAAACAGAAACTTGTAAAAAGAAATTTGTTCCGCAGCCAAGCATCAGTTCAACGAAAAGAAACTAAGAATTCAATAAAAATATGTTTCAGTGTTTCAATTTCTGTCCCTCAGGAATTCTGCCTCAACATCCAAACATAGTTTCCAAACTCATAAGTTTAAAGCTACCTTTGACTCTTTAAAGAAAATTTCTGTAAAATACCTTGTCGTTATAATATAAATGAAACCGATTGCATGGCGACAGCTGGATAGTTTGGTTCTCCGAATAAATGTCTTGAGTTGACCGGGATGAAACTGAGGCCCTCTTTAATTGATAACCTTCGCCTGAGATTTTGAAAATTCAGATGGCAAGTTACAGAGCTTTGCATAAAATAAACCCACCATCTGTGTGTAACTTATATAGTCTCTGCTCCAATGTATCTCTAATTTATTTCAATCTTTAAATAATTTGCTTGTCTCAGGCTCTATGTTTTTCTCTTAATTAAGCCCAAGGTTTTTTTTTCCTTTAAAATATGTGGTTGCCAACTCGAAAGCAGAAGCTACTTTCGCTACAACACACGTCCAACATATTAGTAACTGGGTTTTTATCTCAGAAGTTGAGAAATCTGCTAAGTCGAATCATTTTTGTCAGCAGTAATATAAATAGCCTGAGATAAACCTGAACCCAGCCCTGTGTGCAAATCACCGATATCAGTTATCTTAAATCCAACATTGAAGGGCGCTGAAAAACACACTGCTTTTGCTCATGATCACTTATTGTCGTAAAATGAAAAAATAAAAAATTGTTACCATCCAGTTTGATTATTTGTTTATTTCATTTCATACAATGCGATATTGCACGTCTTTTTCATGTTAATACCATATGGAATGTGTATGTACAGTGTATATATAAGATACTGGCCCTGTATGTGGAGTTAGGTGTGTGGTAAGAGTGACAGTGGGTGGGAGCTCATAGGATCCTGGGGGGGGGGGTGGGGGCACTGGGTAAATGTTTTTGCCTACTCGTACAACTGGAAAAGAGATAAAAATAAAAAATGTTGGTTATGTCTTATTTTTGCTTTATTACAGTACGGTTTTATTTGTGCTTGATGAAAGATATCATGTGATATGTGGATAGGTATTCTAGAACTATATAGCAGTTTCGTTCAGGATTATATGTTAGAATTATAGACATACCTCACACCATAACAAAAACAAATACTGACTCGTAATACTCTGGTACCTTAAAATATATTTAATTGATAAAAACAAGTAAAAAAAGAAGGCTCTTATGTGTCACCAATACACCATATAGCTACCATCTTACAGAATAAAACTTAAAGATCGAACGCTAGTCTAAAGAACATGTTCGGTTATTACTGAGTACTGATAGTCTTCAACAGAATGAAAACAAAAACTACAATATTGGTCAGACGTTCTTGAGAAACTTCACCCTTCCCCACCATCTCATCTCCTTAACTACCACCTCTTCCTTTTTCATATATAATGGAAATTTTGGGAAAGATACCAAGTTGCCGATAATCGCCAGGTCAGTAACGAGCATGGTTAAAAAACAGGATTCCAACATATGAATTCTCAAAACCCAAGAGGTGTTTACTGTTGTTTACTACTGAACTAAAAAAGTGACGCCTTATCAAGAAACATTCTGCATTCATCCAACTGCACTGTAACATCTCAACATTGCATTGTGGATAGCGATTCAGTTATTTGGTAAGGAATTGATGAATGTTATATCTGTTTCTCAAGCTCTTCTGACCAGCGCTGTAACCGCGCCTTAGCCATTTGGATTTCACTTAAAATAATATTGTATAAGTTACTTTAAGCTTATGTCTTGTACTTCATTTCCACTGACATAACAAGCCTTTCGGAATATAACTTTCGAGATATCTAGTACAAGCTTTAACATCTCTATGACCGTTATGGCGGAGACGCCGATCCAAAGACCCAGTTGACCGCCAATGTCGCTCAAAAGATTCTCGGCCTAGAGAAAGAGAGAAAAGATGTTCAGACATCTATGGCTGCGTTCACACTTGGTGCCCGGGCACGGAGCTGGGCACTAGTGTGAACACACAGTTTTTATCCACTTTAGAATTCGCGCTGGTACCGGTGCCCGAGTACAAGGTCGAGACAAAACCTTATATCTTATTGCACCGGAAGTCAGATATGTTGCTTGGAACCAATCGGTGCGAAGTTCAAAAGGCTCTTTTGCTTTTCGATCAGTCAGACAAAAGTTCAGATTCTGGACTACGGGCGTACGACTACATAGAGTACAGTTGCCTCCCGATAACTCGAACTTAGACCCTCGCTTACTCGAATCTCGCGCTAACTCGAACCAAAATCGATTTCCCCTGGATTTCCGTCATACATTAACTGTAATTTTACCCTCGGTATCTCGAACCCTGGATAACTCGAACCTCCCGCTAACTCGAAGTAGTTTTTGTTTCCCCCTCAGATCATTTCTATATATTTTTACCCTCGATAACTCGAACCATGTTTTGAGACCTTAAGAAGTCGAAAAAACAAATAGTCTACTGGCGTCCGAAACATTGAATTTTGAATTTCCCATTGTTGTGTTTGTTACGATATTTTCTGATTTATAATCTAGAAGTATCTTTTAATTTTCACTGTGCAGTAAAAACTGCTCTTTTCCTTACTCCCGGCTTTTTTCTTCAAGCTCCCGATAACTCGAACTTTTTTCGATTTCCCTTGAAGGTTCGAGTTATCGGGAGTCGACTGTAAATGTATCAGGCATCCTTTTCCAATTGCAATCTGCAAACAAAAAAGCAGAAGGACCACCTGATTGCAGACTACTCCGTACACAGTTACATACTGGATACTTAAGGTGTGTAAACAACACCATTAGTCCCTATGACTTGAAGACTGGATTATTTGACCTTGAAATTTCCGGGAAAATGAAAAATGGGGAAAGTTGTACAATTGCATGCAGCCACTTGGAACGAGCCTGGACAATTTAGATTATTCAGTGTGCGTCGCTTTCATTGTTGAAGACTGGCCTAGGGGAGGTAACTGGATCCCGCTCAAGTAATAATGGGCGAAACCGTTGCGAGCGAAGGTTATTACGCCTTCTGCGTTATCCTTGTACGTCAGTAAGCGCTGTGTTAATTAGATCACTTAACTTCTGAGTTTTATTTATTTTTAATTGCAATCTGCAAGGCTTTCTAATAGTTTAAGGTTTTTGTTTTAACTAGATGATTGTGTTATTGATGTACTTGTCTTGCCACGCCACGACTAGCTTTCCAGCTATTTGCGGGGCAAACTATTCAACTTTTGTATTTTTGTACAAAAAATAAAGTTGTTGTTGTTACGTCTAGTGTGAATACCTTGAGATACATCATAAAAAAAATCTCTTAAGCGGTGGTTGAGTGGTTTGGTATACGTTAAGGGACACATATAAGACTTATTTCAGGTTGACTAAAAGTCTTCGTGAAGACATTTTTTATTGATATTGGCTTGGTTATTCATAGCACAACAGTTACTGTATCCATACTTACCATGTAATATTCTGAGTAGGTAATTTTCTCCATGTTCAATTCATCAAAATATATTTTTATTCGCAGGAAGTTTTGCCTGAAAGAATTGGTTAATTTCACAAAGTTATAATCCTAATTTACCTTTAAATATTGGGCATATTTGTCCCAACATGATTATCTTCTCCCAATCACTTCATTGATCTTACGTCATTTCGCTTTCTCGCCAAATTGCCCGCGAGCACGCTGTCCAATTTTGGCGAGCGAAGCTAGCCTCACGTGACTTTTCGCAACCACGATAAATTTGGAGAACTGGTACAGCCGAGTGTTTTCAGGCTTGGTAAAACAGGAACTACGAGCTTATCAAACGGCTAGGCCTATAGACCTAAATATTTTTCAAATAATAATTGCTGTTTTTACCAGCGATTTTTTGGTATTTTGTCGCCAATTTTGTATCTTCTGTTGAAGATAATCGTAACCGAGATAGCTGGCATAAAAAAGATTTTCAAGATCAAGACAAGAATCAGTGAAATAGTTTACATGGAAGGAGGAAGATCCTACAAGGCAGAACAGCTTTTCGTTGGGTTTACATGCAGAAATCTCTGTCCGCGTTGTGCCCAAGTGGAGAAGAAATTAAAGATGGCGGTAGATTGGCGGGCGAGAGTGAGAAAAATACAATTTGGGCCCTTCTGCTCTCGTTACTGAAGTTAATAACTAACTCTTGGTAGAATTATTACAATAATCAGTTCTTAGTAACGCCAAACGAAATGGCCAGTCTTTTATTGCCGTGATTAGCATCTAAACGGCCCGCCGCCATCCTCGTCTGGTTTGTCCCAAGTACTTGGATCTTCCTAGCGAAGGCAGTTTGCATGGTGCTAGGTTCTTCCTACCTCTCAGCTATTTACATGTAAACCGGATACAGAAAACATATGGCGCTAGGATGTTCCACGTACTAGGATCTTCCTCCCTCCACGTAAACAGGCCCTAAGTCTTGTTCACCTACCTCAACATGTCTTTGTCTTTGCCCATTTTCATGATATCAGCATCTCCTCCCCTAAGCATCATGGCTTGTATTTGTTTCTTCAAAGTACACGAGCAAACGATGAACAAATGAACATTAAGGTCACATTCAATGAGGAAACTATTTTTACCATTTTAAATTAAAATTAATAAAAATTCTCTGGAAAATTTTGTTTTAAAGCAAATTTTGACACGCAACTAAGAATAACCTTTGTTGCTTCTGACTCTAGATACTATCATTCGTATAGGTCAGGTTAGCATATTTAAGGTGCGCGCTTCGACTCCATAACTTGCACAGGAATTTGATCTATTAATTAAGTCATATACCATGATTCCTGTGATGATGAAATAGCACCCTTGAGCGAGATCTTAACGAGTCATGTACTATGCTGCTAACTAAGCAAATAAAATCATCTCTTAATCAGAGAACAGATATGATTTGCTGTGTCACATAGAATCATCTCTGGAATCATAATCTGATCTTATGTCCACTGGTACATAGCATCATCTCTGGAGTTATAATCTCATTTAATGTGTAAACATGACATAACTGGTAGAGCACGATGGTTTACATCAACTGCTGCTAACATAAGTATTGCCCTTTGCAGGCTTTAAGTTTAGATTCAGATTCAATAAGAAAAAGTTTAAGACAACCTCGTCCCCAGGGCTTTTCCCTTAAAAAATGGGTGGGGCGGGAAAAGGCCCTGGCATCGGCTGGTCACGTGTCCCCTCGTACACCCTAAAATCCTGGGTGTAATGAATTAGCGCTTTGTGAAAAGCTAAAATTATGCGTAACCTCACAGCGCGCGATCTTGGGCGGCCTTTTATATCTCTTGACGATTAACGAAAAGTTTTACAAGATTTCTTTTTTGTCACAGATACTGGCTATGGTAATTTTTTGCTTTCCTCCGATTTCTATGAAGGGGAGAGCGAGCGGTAACATTTGTAAAACTTCCTTTATAGAGCGATATAAATGACAAACAAGCTATCGTACATGCTTAAAGTTTGTACTGGAAAAGTCCCTTTTCTCGACTCTTTTGATATTTTATTTTATTTCTTGCGAAGTGGACCGCCGTACACAACCTAGTTCTATTCACCTTAACTCTCAGCCATATCATAGCGTCACGCGTTGGTTTAGACTTATCTTGTATGACCTGTATTTTTAAAAATTCATTGACCTCTGCGAGACTTGACCGAAACCGGAAACCGGGCATGAAAAGTTTCTGGCACCACAGGCAGCCCAAGCGCACTATTTGTGGGTTCGGGCTTCAGAGGTCATTTAGTGGGAATATACTAGAATTATTAGTGTATTATCTGATGCCAAATAAATGCAAAAAGTCTTAAAGATATGAAGTCTTCTTGTTTGTCTATCGGTACTAGTAGCCTTTAAGATAACGAAAATCGATATTTCTTGCATTATTACATGTGATTCGCGCCCTTATTGATCGAATTTTATCACATGTATTCGAATCTACAACGCTAAGGGAAAAAAAATCATGATCACGCGAAATATTGATTCAAAAAGCTCCATTACCTTTCGTTCATAGCCACTCTGTGTCCTACGGCTGGTTTAAACGCCGTTTAGTCGACTTTCTTTCCATCGAGTACTGAACACTGAACACTATAAAAGAAGGGAAGGCTGGAGACCTTCCAATTGACCCTCGCCGCTCGAAGGCCAATAAATTCCAAACAAAGCGACCGATCTCCCTAAAATTGCCACCAGCCAGACCGAAGAGTGTACACCTACCCGTTCGATGAGGGCCAGGTTCTAAATTCGGCTGCATGAGCTCGAGGATCGTTGCATTTCGCATCGATTCTGGCCAGCTTCGCTTCGCCATGATGCGCAATCTTAACTGTTATCCTACGAGATTCAAATCTTGGAGCTTAGCGACGGCGTCAGATGGACAAAACGTCACTCTCGCGGGGGGAGGGTCGTCACTTTTGCCCTATCGCAAACCGACACCGTCCGGGGAGCTGGTGCGTTTAATTCGGCCGGAAACAGCTCACGCGTGTATGACACATGAAACCTAAAAAAAGCCCTGGGGACGAGGTTGAGTTTAAGAATATCCTTTTCTGTATTAGAGTATGGTCTATCTCATGATGGTGAATTTTTGGCTTCTTCTACAATAAGAGAAACGGATGTACTAACCTCATAGAATTGGGACCAAGCGGAACTTGACATGGAAGCCCTGTAGCTCATGTGTCTGTACAGAACAAGTGGTGAAAGTAAGTCCCAAAAAATACAACCATAACTACTCAAGTGGTGGTACTGGCAATTCATCAAACTACACAGTTACCACAATGGCACTGAACACAACTGACACTGCTGTTGCTACTGCTACTGCTACTGCTACTACTACTAGTCTACCACCACTACACTACCACTGCCACTGCCACTACCACTACCACTGCCACTACCACTGCCACTGCCACTGCCACTACCACTACCACTACCACTACCACTACCACTACCACTACCACTACCACTACCACTACCACTACCACTACCACTACCACCACCACCACCACCACCACCACCACTACCACTACTACTACTACTACTACTACTACTACTACTACTACTACTACTACTACTACTACTACTACTACTACTACTACTACTACTACTACTACTATTACTACTACTACTAACTAAGTAACTAACTAACTAACTAACTAACTAACTAAATAATACGTACGTGCAAGACTGAGGGCATTTTTCCGCACAGTCGAGATCGTCATTTTCATACTTGTTTGAGACTTCCTGAACACATTTCACTGGAAATTAGAAAAAGATTAATAACAATTGCATTATAACGTAGATGTATCCGTCAGTTGCAATGTTAAGACCTGTCTATCTCCATGGGGAGGGTACCACATGTGAGCGATGACTCAGTCAAAATCTTCTAAAAGGGTGTTCTACCAGTTCATCTCTGCGACAGAATACTTTAGGGAAATTCTCTAACTCAAAAAGAAAGTGCAGAAAAACCATTTATCCTTTTATTAGCAAGGAATTTTAATTAAGGCTCAGTTGAGAAACATTCATGAACAATGCTTTGCCATACCTTGCTCTGTTTCTGAACATATACCATTTCCTAACCGAAATTTTCCCTCCGTGCAATTACAAAGCTCCATCTGTGCACGGGCGAGGCAAGAGTACATACAACCCTGAAGAAAAAAAAAAAAACAAACCACTCAAGGCATTTACCGAGATCAGTTTACATTGTTAGGCTTCAGGGTTGCGTGAACGATGATTAAATTTAGGTGGCGGACAAAAAAAGAGCTCTATTTCAACTCTTAAGCGACGACAACAACGACTTAACAACGAGACCGGCAAAAAAGTAATAGGTGGAGATTAGCAAAACGACAACTTTGAACGTGCATCTATTTGCTATTTTTGTACAATTACACGACCACGATGTGAAACCGCGCAATTTCATGTCAATTTTGTGAGGTCTTAAACAAAAGACAACTAATTTTCTTTTTTGCTTTTTTTAAACTTAGATACAGTCCCTTGGAACTCAACTCCAGGAAAATTTAGCAAAAAAACAACAATTTTGCAAGTGCATCACGCTTTTCTGTATATTTCTTTGCAGTCGCTGTATGACTACGACGTGAAAATGTCTAATTTCACGTTTTACAAGCGACGATGAAATTTCCTCTCTCTTTCTGAATTTGGATATGGTTCTTAGGAATTCAACTTTAGGAGGCTCATCTATATATGACAAAGTTAGTGACTTGGAGTAATCCTCATGAAGACTGGAAAAGAACGCGAATTCACTTTTTCAGCGACGTTTTCGCTGCAGTCGCTGTCCTCGGATCTCAAGGTCCCTTCTATAACGAATAGGTTTTCGTTCGACTCGAAAAGCTATCTGGTATACGGTATGAAAACCTATCCGACATGTGACTCTCCACTTAAGGCTTTTTTCACACTATAGCGGCTATCTTCGGCGCTGGCACAAAAACAATACCGGATAGGGCTTCTGTTCAGATATAAAAAGGGTGATTTCGGCACGATTTCTGTAACGGAGCGAAGCTGTGCTGCGCCGATCTCCCAAGTGGAGAGTCATATACAGTTATTTCGAGAAAGGTTGTCGGAAAACATGTGCACGCCACAATCCCGAAAGGTAATGTGGGATATGTTCAATACACGGTTCCTGACACTGTAGCTGTCGAACCTACTTTTGTTTCTTTCCTTTAGCACTCGCAAACATACTCAGTGATCTCTCCTGTCATTCTTTCAAATTTCTTTGAAGAACAGTGAACTTAAAACCACCCACAATACCTTTCGGGATTGTCGCGTGCACTTTTTCCGACAACCTTTCTCGAAACGGCTGTATACGAGGCAGCGTGACCTAGTGGTCAGCAGGTTGGATTCGCAATCCCGTGGTCCCGAGTTCGAGTCCCATGCGCTCACTGAATTTGCTGAATTTGTTTAGTCTCTGCTGTCCTCGAGTTCAAATCCTCGGTCGGACGCTTGTAAATAACCAACTGGTTGCCTCCTGCTAGTTGCCGGGTTTTTAATCCTGCTATGTTCTGTTTGATGTATTTGTTTCTGATTATTCGAGTGGAGTGCCTGTGTAAACTGGCTGAATAAGCCGCCCTGGGGCCCGTTTCTCTAAAGTCCCGGTAACTTTACGGGCTCGAAATCAAATATTCAAATCGAAATATAAAGAATAAGAGCGCGGGCCCTGGCTAGCAAACTACTCCATTGTGTTTCATTAAGTGACAGTTTTATCATGGTAGATATCATGCAAAACTATCTATACTACTATATCATGCAAAACTATTGAAACCTCGATCTTTAAGGTAAACGGAGACAGCTTACCGGGCCAGTTAATTATCGGGACTTTCGAGAAACGGGCCCCAGTCCACTAAAAACAAACCTCTAACCTTTATCCTTAAAGTTATACCTAATTTAACATATCGGATAGGTGTAATTTCTACAACGGATAGCTTTTCATGTCGGTACAAAAAGCTATTCGCTATAGTTTGAGCATATATAACCTCCACTAACTCCCGTGAGCTACGTACAAACGGACGCAACAACTCTCAAAATTGTTGCCCACACTGAAAATTAAAAAGATCTGTTTCAGCCCCAAAGTGTCGATTCAGCTCTGCAGGCCAAAGTCTAATTCAGCCTTTCCTGGAGCCATTTGAGCACAATTTAGGCCAAAAAAGCTCAATCAAAAAGCTATTCCAGCCCACGCTAGGGCACCTTTCATCCCCTGGGACCAAATCAGCCCTAGTTAATTGGACTGTATTGGCCCCGATTTAAGGGAGCCAAATTAGACTCAAAAATGGACTGTATTTTACTCACCGAAACGGCCCCATTTTTATGGCTAAAACAGATCTTTCTGATTTAGAGTGCAACAATGTTGCGAGTTGCTGGGTCCTTTTGTACGTAGCTGAAAGTTTGAACGGTTTCAAACTTTGCGCAACAACTCCCAACAACACGCAACAACATGCAAAAGGATGAGCAGACGGGCGCAACATGTAACGATCTGTAACATTCAGTAATGTTGAGAGTTGTCGGCCAACAATGTTGTGTTCGTTTGCTCGGGGATTAAGCATCCTGAAAATGCGGAGAAGTGAACTACTAAACAAAAGACAAACCTGAACAGAATATTTTGAACCCTTGGTTTTTTCTTTATAAACCGAAAAATCCTCTAAACTGTCATTGCTGTGACAGCTTCCATTATTAAAAGGATCTACTCGTGTTATTTGGAGCTGTAAGGTAAAAAGGTTTCAGCAACGGTGTCAGTACATGGGCACTGATATACGAATAACGTATTTGCTATTACTAGGTATAGGCACGGTAGCTTAGGGCAGGTACAATTTTTCATAGGTACCCACAGTCAGCTGCCAAATCAATCCTAACGCGTTTCTTAAGTCATTTTCACGACGATGAGTTGTTCTCATTTTTGTTTTTATAATGGTCTGATAACTTAGACCATTTGTTGTTGGTTTTTCTTTTGTTTTGTTTTTGGGTGTAAATAGATGATTGAAATGTAGTTTCGGAGGTACAGGGCATATCATGTACTCTTTTTAGTATCGCTAATGATGTGATAATATAGCACTGAATTTAAACCAGCCTAAGCTGAACTTTAAAAGCAATTAAAGTACTACCTGTATGGATCTGATTTGTTTGACAAAAGATAGGAGATAGAAGTAGGCCTGCCTTTTTCAAGTTAAGTTTTCTAGCTTCTACCTAAAGCCGTCGAAATGAAAAAATCCTATACTGATGACGCGTCACTGCTCAGATCCGGGTAGTGACGCGTCATCAGTATGGAATTTCTGAACTCGTTTCTCAGACGTCATTTGGCGGGGAAACCAGCAGTGGCGTCGCGAAATATCGGCTGTTTTCAAAGGCTGTCTTTAAAGTCTTAAAAGAAGAGGCGCAATAGCGGAAGGGTAAAGCATTCCACGAGACCAGTATTATAGTGGTTGTCCACTGATTTAAGTCTTCAGGGCCACCCAACGACTGTTTTCTATGAAATATCTGTTCGGAGAAGCAAATATTGCCTAGAATTTTCTTTTGCTTGAAGACGGCTAAAAATTTCTAGATGAACGTTCCATTCATGAACAATTTTCGAAGCTTATCTACAGCAAATTCCCTACGATTTCCTGAAGTTTGATTTTTCATATTTCACTACCCAGATCATATTATTTTTCTTAGAAAAAGGAAACGTAAAATTTTCGGATTCTAAAATAAGATGGAGAGAGGAATCAGAAATATTCTCACTTTCGTGAAACGTTACATTGCACCTAAAATTTTCGGAAAAATAATCCTGAAGCTCTTGTAATTTCGAAAAGACTCAAGTTCCCCTAGGATGACCCAACAGATAAAAATTGTGTAGGGCCGCTTAGAGTGCATTTCTAGAGATATAAAAGTACTCTCGGTAGCCTAAAAAGTGTTTTCATCGTATTTTGGAGGAAACGGTCGTTGGGTGCCCCTGAGTTTTTGTTGGATTTCAAACCTTTTCATTCTTAAGCATTGTAAGTGGAAGGATAAAAATATAAATCAAAACCAAAAAGCTTCTCAGATAAACCAAAGATTGAAACAGCAGAATTGAATCATGGTGCGTCTTTATAGTAAAACAAACCTGTCTCAAGCCAATAGACGTTGCAAAGCCCGGAGAGACTGTGAATCCTTCATCAACAGGAAACGGTATGTTGCGTTGAGGAGTGAGTAAAATACGAACACCGGCCTCTTGACTCAGACTTGGGATGTATTCCTCTTGGTTTATGAATAAATCCAATGTTAGCCCTGTCAGAAAATATCACAAGGGCTGAAAGCGACAGTCAGGTTTACCTTGTAATAAGCTTATCAACAGTCATGTAGCACAGCTAAAGATAATGTAAAGCCAAATGGGATGTCCGTTCCTTTTTCCCACTTACACAAAATTAGATTGGTTTTCTGCGTAGCGACGTTTACTTTCTCAGAATGAACACAGGTACCTACTCTATGAGCATGCTAGTTAATTTAAAATTGTGATTAAATGCGCGCTATTTCAACAGCTGACAACTCATTTTAGTCATCGATAACAAACAGTTATCGAGAATTAATATTTGTTATACACTGGTGATATTCTGAGTTATCAGTTTCAAGTATGGAGGAGTTAAAGTACTGGTGAGTTTTATAAAGTAAAAACCCTTGATCCTCTTCACATTTTCACCATTATTTTACTTACCATACTTGGGGCCGGGTTTGTTACTGGTCAGAACAGGTATCTTTTTTCCATCCTTTAAGGATCCAGAGTTAAATGTAAAGCAATTTCCGTATCTCCAGTTCCATTCTGTTTTCCAGTACTTCTTGAAGTCACTTTGAAATGAACAGAGGAGGGTCATGCGTCAATACTGTCTACAATCCCTGAATGCTGATATTACGTGTCAGTGAAAGGTAATATTTACCTGCTGGCTGAGACAGAGTGTAATACAAGGGGAGGTACGGACTCTGCTCATCGAGAAGAAAAAGAGTATTTCAACTGACCAAGACTCTAATCAATCGTTTTCTAATTTATGAGTCGAATATGACAGACATGCAGACATTAAATACTCTTAAATGCTCTCATAAAAGCATTAGTAAGAAGCATCCGGGATACCAACATTGCGCTAGCAAGCCACATCTAGAGAATGAGGAAAGAGAAAGATCGCTTGACCTATGACGCAGAAAGACGAAAGCGTCAAGATCTTTTTTTACGATTGTTTCAAGATGAATTTTCTCCTGTTAAGAAGCTCCTCTTTAAATTTATAAATCCATTTTAATGGCAAGGTCTGCCGAGAATGGGCTATTATAGGTTACTATGCGTACAAGGCAAACCATGAAAAGGTGGGGTTTACAGTTTTTGTTGAACAACAAAAAACTTATGAAATGCTACCAAAAAGTAGGGACATATCTAATTATATTTTATTAAACAAGTTCAGGACTGAAATCTTCAATTTCAGTACTTTTACATTTCAGAAAATCCAAGATTGTAACCATATGGCCTATCAATATGACTTCCCAGAACTGTAAGAGTGCCTATATTAAAGCTTATTGTACTTAGGAGTTCCATACGTCATACCATCTACTTTGATCTGGTAGAGCACATCAAAAACAACAAGCAGCGCTCCCCTCTTCCACTAGTTGTACTAAGATGGTAATTTGAGAAATGTTTTTAATATGCAGTTGCTACAAGGGAGCTGGCGTAACAGCAGGTTGAATCACATATAGAAGCGATCTTACCCTTCTTTACAATTGAAGTCTTTCCAATTACAGCGGTACACAAGCTCATGAAAAGGATGTCCACCTTTGGTCAAAACTGAATCATTATATTTTGCCAACATTGATATGATCTGGTCTTCCGCATATGCTTGAGCGTCAACTGAAACATTGCTCAAACTCCCATCCTCCTCAGCATCCGAGGAATCGATTTTTAACGATTCCATCAAGGCTTCTTTCGTTTGGTCAGGTGGGCCAAACGACACTGAACCCCCAGAACTAGAACCACCGGAACTGGAGCTGTTAGATCCTGACGATGATCCCCCGTGATGGTTTCCTCCTCCGCCTCCTTCCCCGCCATCCTGTTTGCCCTCCATATAATTGTCAAATGTTCCTACTATAGTTTGAGCTTCAGGAAAATTGTGTAGGAAGGAACGCTTGATGATGTTAAGGTTGCATATTGTCACAGCAGGAAAACTCACGGTCTATAAAATGTAAAAAAGAAACATATATCGGCGAAAAGATCGTGGGTATTAATAAGTAAGAATAGAAAATACTAAAACCGGCCGCACAAGTGAATAAAATCTAAATAGAGCATTTTCACCTGACGTCACGGGGGCCTTGTTGGTAACAATGAAACGGCAGCCATATTGCTGGTTTTCAGTGTCACGCCATACAAAATAGATCGAAATAAAAATCAAAACCGTTAAATAGATAAAGTCCAGAATCTGGGAAACGAAAGGAGGTAAAATATGCAAAGACCCTCGCCAAGATTCAGGTCAGAGGAATATTTTGTATACGAGATATCCGAAGAAATGTTTACCTAAATTTATAGAGATTTGTATGGAGACGCCATGCTGATGCTCATCCGGATGAGCTCCAACATGGCGGACGGAAACCAACAGAAACATCTGTTACCGAGTTTTGTTACAAAAGCGTGAATTTATTGTTCGAGGAACTCATAAACATCAAAGTAATACTTTTTCTGATACATGAACTGTTTAGATAGCAAAATTCCCTGAAATAAGTCATTTTTTAACCTACATGACAGCCCTCTTGGCCGTCATGTAAATGCCGCGTCACTCAAAAGCTTAGAAATTCAAGCGTACTTTATCACAAAACCAAGAACCCTTTTGAAGCGAAAATTGGTATGAAAATTAGTTTTCAGCTGCTCTTATACATCGTGAAAGTAAAATCTCGGTAGGATCGATAATTTCGTAGTTTGAATTTTAGTGACGTCATGTGAAAACCAAAAATTGGTGTTCTAACAATTCCTGTGGGAGTTGGACTCTTATGTAAAAAATTTCCTTTGTTCCCATAAATTTGCATAGATGCTGGCCACGTGAGTGAAAACCCTCTATAACTAAATAACAATTAAGAGATAGCACATCCACATAGCGGCTCTTCGTCTACCATTTCTGGTCGAATTAGAATTTGGAAATGTTGCATGGTTTTTGAGACTAAGAGGGGAAAGCGGAGAAAAGAGAGCAAAGGGAGGAACCAATAACAAACTCAACCCACATATTGCGTCGACAGACGCCAGGTTTTGAGCCTGGGCAACACTGACGGGGAGGCGTGTGCTCATTCCTTGCTCTCCAATTGGCCGATGCGATGATTCGGTTAATAATACCGTACCGTTGCAAAAATACTTAAAGGAGCCGTGTCACGAACTTTATCAAAATTCAAACAGAGGGAACTAACACCAAATTTTAATACCATCAACTGACGTCATACAAATCACTTTGACTCTGAAGATGACTACCGCACAGGTTGTCTAAACGTCAGTCACTGTCAACAGCAGCCCTATTAAGAGCAGTTGTCTGTAAGATTCGAGCTATATTAAAAAGGCGCTGCCACACTATCTCACCGAATTGGCTAAAAATTGGCATGTAGACTTGATTTGAGGTCTTTAATAAGGAATAGGTAACTTTAGGTTCTAATTCCTCCTACTTCGGAAATTATCGACATGGCCGGTTTTTGGGTGCCTCGGACCGGCGCCATATTGGTTAATAGAAGCTGCTTTTGAGCCTTCGACTACAACCCTGTCTTCAAAGCTAATCTTCCTTTGCCAATACAGATTGAAAGAACAATCCCTCTTTATTGTATTTTTAGAAACTACTTCGAAATTGATAACGTTTTCGCAACGATCGATTAAACTTTTGGTGGGTATACTTTTTGAATTTTTTACACCCGCAAAATTAACAGAATTTTAAAGGCGTATATCTCTTTTGCCACATCGCATTGAAGCTTACCAATCTGCCTGAATACTCACTGTTTGTAGTTAAATCGAGTTCATTAATAAAAAAATTGGGCAAATTTAACGGAGCAGAAACAAAAGTAATGAATGGAAGACTGTTCTAGCGACTTTGTCAATAATCTACACCGAATACTCGCCAGGTGTTGCCAAAATTACAATCGATAATAGAGTTTTTGTCATTAAATCTGAGTGATTTGTGTAATAAAATTAGCCTCTGTAATATAATCGATAACTCTGCTGCGAAAAACAGTATAAAAAAAGGCAGATTGTATAAGGAAAAGGAAAATCAATTTGTCATGTTTATGCTATGACGCGTAAACAAAATTCAACCATCACAGTCGAACTGGAATTTTCCTGATTTTCCTCCAGTTCCTTTACCGAAACCAGAGCTTTTAAAATTAACCAGAGTAATGAAAATTGAGATGTACTACCTTACTCGACGACAAAGTTGCCAGTTTCCACCTTGATCGAAGAAAAGTAATATTTTCCCACGCATATCGCGGGTCGTCACGTTCCTTGCCTGGCGTTACAACTCACGTGAAACCGCCTGGTTTCAAACAACTGAACTGAAGAATCCGTGAAAATCTTAGCCAGGCAATAAATAATGGAAGTTGATATAAGTTATCATTATTAGTGAGCGAGGATCGATGCGATGATAGTTCCAGTTACATGTGTTTACAGCGTTTGAAGATTTACTCAAAACTCATGAGACATGAGCCCTTGAAATAAACATCATTACTTCCGGTTTTAAAAATTGGGCGTTGGCAAAGTAATGAATAGACTCATTCTACCTTGTACACCGTTAACAACGGTTCCGTGTACAATTTTCAGGTATTTTGTCACAATCACGAAGCCCGTTTTGAGGAGATTCTTGATAAACAGAAAAATTTGTTTGGAAGGGGTTAAGAAGAATGAGGGATGAGCCCGGGACAGCAAAAACCACAGTCACCCCACGGAAGGGCTTTAAAACTGTGCGCAAATGCCTCACCCTAGGGACAATTCCAGATTTTTGTTTCCTTGAAGAAGCTTAAAATCGCTAGACAATGCATGGACAACTCAAGACAGTCCTAATTCAAAATAAAGTAAACAGCAAAGAAAATTCAGTTAGCGACCAGAGTGTTTATCCGATATCGCGAACAATAACGAGTAATTGAAGATGTGTCTGCAGTTTAATGTAAAATCATTTACCATGCTCACGGACCTTTAGGCAACATAAGTGTACCGATTGACGTAATATCAGTGGTAAAAAACGAACGCTTTTTACTGTAGGACGATGACGTCATCATACAAAAGGCGTCTTCACTCTGGCATCCAGAATTTCAAACAGTCAAAACCTAATTTTCTCTGCTCGTCAAATGAAAAACGCCTCTGAGGGCAAGTAGTGGTAATGTGCTTGTTAGTAAGACGTCCAACATAAGGAGACATTCATAATCAACTCGGTTAATGCATTGATAGGAAACTTTCTCCTTTACCCTTAGGGACAGAGTTCAAAGGCGCAAAAGATTTTTAGTTCAGCTCTAGCATGTGTTGTATAGCGATTTTCCTTGAGCTTCTCTAAATTTTCCAGATCAAACAAGCTGTGCCCATCGTACATAATCTTGTCTGGGCTCCCTTGAAAAATTGCAATTCATCAGATGCCTTCAAGTTCATCCTCCGCCGCGACAACTTCGTGATCTATTTTAATGGGTGGTTTTCTGGAACTATCCTATGGCTTGTCCTTTCTGGTCGTCACTATATTAGCGAACATGTTTCAATTTCTCTCCAGCAAAAGTCTCTATCAGGAGCGTAGCCAGGACTTTCCAGGTGTGCGGAAAATTTCCAAAACTTACCCTAACATCTTACTCAGTTCTCTCGCAACGTTTCCCCACTACATTTGCTAATTCTGTTAACTAGGTGAGGTTATGCGTGGATGAAATGGCACTTGCAATCGGTGAGAAAATTAGGTTAGACACTTCATCCTCAAGGACGACTCTCACGTTTTGCTGACACTTTCTACCTTAGAACAGATAAGTGAAGCTTTGCCTTCCCGACTCCGTGTAAAAAAATGTCGTTCGGCTGTTCAAACTACTTTTAGGAAACAACAAACTTCCCAACTTTAATTTTTAATAAAGGTATAAGGGTAGGAATCCAAATTGTTTTGGAGTATTTCACTGATTTTAACACGATGATTGTAAAGTAGTGTCTAGTGAGTACGGGGGCTAATGCCCCATCGTAAAAATCTGAAATTGAAAACAAAAATCTTGAATAACCGAGTAGTACACAATTTTAGTTATTTTATTGAGTTGTGAAAAATCACAAATTTGTTTCTTCTTGAATGTGTTATACTCTCATCCATTCAGTCTTTCCGATATACCCGTCGGATAGCGGAAGTTAACGTAAATGATCGATTACCTGAAAAGAAGCTACCATCCTAACTTTCCACCTTCGGGTCTTTTCCCTAGCCATAATTTTTTCCCTCAAGGAATTTTTCACTGTTTTACATAATAATTGGTCTTGCATTCAGCTTATCGATTTTGAGAGCCTAGTCCTATGCCGTATTCTGATGCGATCTACTTTATGTAGCTTTCCCCCCATCTAACAGCTCCCTACTGAACAAAAATATTTTTCCAGCGGTAAGCACAATGTTCCTAATTCCCCCTAGTCCCCTTCTTAGACGCTTTCATGTGCATCAGGTGTAAAATTTTCTTTTCATAAGCTACAATGCTCATAATCGCGCATTCTGATGTCATTTATGCTTAAAAAATTAAAAATTAGTTTATCGAAGAAAGAGTGAATTAAAGGTGTCATGAGGCGTTTGTGATTTCATGAACTATTTGACGCGGTCCTTTTCTTACGGCTTATGTCCGTTGGTGCAATCGCTACTTGGGTTTTCTTGGATTGAAAAGGGCGGGCTCTTTCTAAACGTGGCGTTGTTTATGGGACCTTAGTATTCAGAACAGAATCAGTCGATGGCAAACAACGAAAAGGCTTTTATGAGGTAAGTTACAGTGATGAACCTTGCCTCGAGATGGTCATATTTTTGTACATACCTTCATGCAATTCAGTGTTGGTCTGAAAATTTTTTGTTATGGATGGGGGAAGGGTGGGGGGGGGGGGGGAGAGATCAGAAAATGTACCTCGTGTTGTTTACGAGACATTAAAGTAATGAAAACTGTTAAACAGTCTTCTACAAATCAAAATAGTTGCAAATGCTTACGGGAGGCCCTAACTATATGATGATAAGAAGGGCTATATTTGGAAAGGTGCATAGTCGTGGAGTTAAGGAGATTTGACTAATCAACCAATTTCCCGCTAAACATAAAGGCGTGGCCAGTGGCCCCAAAATTGTGTTCGCTCGACCCGGGCTGGCTCGACTTTTCGGATACGGTTATGGGGTTATAAACAATGAGTTCATCATCTATATAGCCTACTCGCTCCAAGTGACTGCATTTCGCTTTTCAGAGACCCATCAGTTACTGTATGACCCTCTCCGATCAGATTTTATGTTCGTGGTACTGGTGGTGAGGTCAGTCTACAAGCAGAGTCGTGAAAAACACCGCCACTTGAGCCTTTAAGTTCAAAACATTCCTGGCTATCGGGAAAAAAAGAAGGAGCTTTTAAAAATACTAAATAAAATGTCATTTCAAATATCACTTTGTCACCGTTCGAAAATTATTGTGAATCAGACCGAATGAAAGTTCACTCAAAGAGGGGGAGGGGGGTTGGTAGTTCTTAACAGTTCCGGTTAGCTAGAAAATTAAAAGTTACGAAAAAATAGTGGGCGAACTGCAGAATACATGCAAGAATGAGAAAGAAAATAGAAAACAACTTCCTGTTCAAATTCGGGTGAAACGTTTAATAGCGTCAAGAAGACTGAACTTGATTGAGGTTGTTCATTTCAGTTCCGTTCCAGCGTGCAGTTCGTTGTCCTCCTAAAAATAGCTTCGTCTCCCACCGATCATTCCATGTCATATTTTGCGGACTTATTATTCAGTAATGACGGTACGATCAGGTAATTTGACTTGATGAGTTCTTTAATTTCATTTCATGTACTAGTTTTATATCTTACGCTGGAAAGATCTGCCAAACAGTGTACATTAGCAAAGGTAGGTTCCTGTTTACACGTGTAATTATCGAATACCATACAATTTGCATAAAGCTACAGTGCACGGTTGGTTTTTCTAGCCTTTTGATTAAAATTGACAACGTTTGCGTTATCTTTGCCTAAGAAAATATGTAATTTGTAGCTGTATACAGCGAAATACTACAGAGAAAATTGTAACTGTGCAGTACACGAGCGGCTCCCGATTGGTCTGGGAAATCGAAGAGCGAACTTGAGCTAGTACCGTGTGTAACAAAATTTATAATTTTCATTTTAGCGCATATTTCAAGCTCTTCGCAAGATCAGAATCAAAAGATCATCTGTTTACATTACAAGGGAGGGTTTTTTAAGCGATAGATAGGGTTTAAGAGGCACGATCAATTTTTAAAGAATTTTCTTTTCAAATATTCACCGAATTTTGTTTTGAAGTTTTAGCGGCCAAGTGGCTGAACCACTGCGCATTCATGCAATCATATTTCTGTTCCGTTGCATTTGCCCAATTATTTTATTCAACAATCTAACTTAGCTATAAACAAACTATGTTTAGTTAAAATGGCTTAGTCTAAATCGATGTGGCATGGGTGATATTGGCCTTCCAATTTCTACCAAATTTGTGTACCGTTTAAGTACCGAAAAAGTGCTGTGAGAAGTTATAGCCGTTCGTAGCTCAGGCTTAACCATTTTCAGATAAGAGTAGGTAAATGAAAGGAGGAAGGATAGTTCTTTGCAACTGTATGAGTCACGATTAAGTTATTTTAATGATAAGGCTAGAATTAATTACTGTAAATCTCCTTCAGTTCACCAACATGGCGGCCGCTCGAGGCCTCGTCAAAACTGTCATTCCTGTATCTTTGAAACCAACGAGAATTCGAACCTTAGAATATGCATTCAGTATTTAGGACACCATTCTAAGACTACATGCCAAAAATCAGCCAAATCGATGAGGTACCGTGTCAGGCCGAAGTTCGAATTTTACAGAAAATCACTCTTAAGGAATTCGACTACCCGGTCGATCATACTTCACCGACTTATAAAATGACCCCTGGGTTCAAACCTTTCAGAGTGTTAAAACAACTGCTCAAAAAGTTAGAAGATGGTTATAAATGACACAGAAAACACATTGAAACGGATTGCTATTGTGGTTTTTGAAAACTGTTACCCTAACAGTTTTAAAACTTCATTATACATGTAATTGATGTTTGTAACGATTTAGACCATGCTTGGGAGACATGCTTTGATTGACAAAAACACGTAATTTCTCAAGTTTCCATAGCGAATAAGGATACGTAACTGGTATTAATAATGGTAACAGGACAGAGTGGAATCCAATTCGGTCTGTAATCATACGAGTGACAAACAAAATCGGACGGCCGCGTAGCGAGAGTCCGATTTGTTCACTCACTTAACAAACAAGAAATTCCGAGAGTTTTTTTGATAGCAGTGAAAAAAAAGCCATTTGAGTGCGCGCGCATGATGACCCGTACTGTCCTATTACATTGCCCTATTAGTACTGAAATCAGGACCGTTGATAGCCGATCAGATTTGAGAATTTTGTTATAGTTATGGTTATAAACAAAATGAACTAGACAGCCGTGATACAGCCATTTTCATTATGCCTAAATCCTTACCCTTGAGTAAGTGACGTCAATATCTGACTTGACCGGTTTACTCAAGTAGTTTTCCATCAGCAATATTCCTTGGTATACGACCATTGAAAACCCAGCTAGCGTCACCAGTATCCAGAAAATACGCCAAAATATTGACTCCGCTGAAGCAATGCGACCGATACCATGGCTAGACGTATCCTGTGCAAACTCACGAAGCAAAGTTCTTAACGATGGTTTGTCTTTACCGGTCATTGTGAGGTCAGGGCTTGATTTCATTTGTGCGTCGATCTTCCAAGGACTAACGGATGACGATCTAGATGCTAATTCCGTGCTGAAAAAAATAGAAATGCAATTGTTTTGCTAGTTTAAACAACGTAGACGGCATGGCATGATTATTTGAGATTCCCGAATATCCGGTTCTCAGGACCGAACTCTAATGATATGAAAGTAACGTTACTTTTCGCGCCTTGTTTTCTATTTTTATCAGTGGATCATAAAGTCTTATTATCCTAGAGTTTCCATTCCTTGTCTAAGGCGCCTTAGGTCAGAGCGTATTACATTCTCTGGGCTCTCATAGTTTTTTTCCGTCAATTCGCCCTAAGAAAGGGTTTCTTGGTCTTGGGGAAAATCCTTCGCACCCATTTTATGATAACGCCCTATTAATGATTCAAGGCGTCTTCGAGTGTTGAAAACATCATAGACGTCCTCCACCGCTAATGTTAGTTAATAATTATTCCTCAAGTCCGAATGGGCTCAGAGTCAATAGCCCATGGCCGAAGGCCGAATGGGCTATTGACTCACTCAGAGGCCATGAGGGCGAGATCGAGGAATAATTGTTTTAGTGAAATCCAACTAGTTGGGAAAAAAATTGAGAATAAAAAACCTTTAGCTAGTTAAAGCTACACTTAAATCCCTTTTTGCTGGGCTATAACATATAGCCTAGTAGTAGCTCAACCAATCAGAACGCAGCATTGATAATAGACCACTAGTTGGATTTTACTAATTATAATTATCACCGGAGACTCTTAAGAGTAGCAATCAAAATACTAAGATGACTTTTAGCTTAAAGTGACATGTGGTTCTAAAATAACCGAGCGATTGGTCGAAGGCAATGGTCGAAGAGAATATAATGTGATGATTGTGCAATTTGTTTTTCTCTTAATTCTTTCTCTCACGCCCAATTTTCCAAAAAAACTTTGCAGTGTAAACATTCTCAGCCGGCTCGTAGGTCCAATTGAATTTTGAACATTTTGGCGTCATCGTCGATGAAAGCCTGGTATGTGCCATGGAAAATATAGTCGATTTCTTAAACTGGAAAAAAGAAACTTCGGCATCATTAAACTGAGGACAGTGATAATTGGTCGACTTTTAAAACTCACAAAAAGAAGCAGCAATTTTGACGACAATCAGCAAATTTAAACTGCGCAAACTACATTTTACAATTTGGTCCTAAATTCAAGAATAGACCAGAAAAAAAGATCACACACCAAGAAATGGAGGCAGAAGTTAAGATCTGAAGTCGTTTAGCAACGGGTTTATGATCGCAATAACTGAATCACATGGGATTTCAGCAAAAAATACAATATTTACCTGATTCTGTTAGAAAGGCGGCGGCGAGATTTCGCCCAACGTCTCGTATTTTCGTCAGTTTCGTTCATAGCGATATTTTTTAACCAGCTTAAAGTTTAGAATCTTGCATCGTAAGTTACAAGTGGTGAAATGAAATTAGGCCGCAGTACATTGTAATTATAGGCGAAGAACTTGGTCTGTTTTATCACTGCTGAGGCCTTGACAAATTAAAGGTCATTAAATGCAAAATTGTGTTTCCTTAATAACATAATAACGATCCGACGTGTTGGAACAGCCGGTCATTAACAAACAGAATCATGCGCGAGTGTTAAATAGCAATAGAAGTTGTAAACAAAGGATTCTTTAATGAAACACTGCGAAACTAACTTTAAAGAAATATAGTTGTTTCGTAGGTTTCTTTTAAGTACTTTTACGACGCTATTTCTGAGAGGAACTCTCTGTTTGTAAATATGCACGAGATCGAGCAACCTCCCATTATACTGACCTCAGTCTTACCGAAATAAATAAGCAAAATAAAAGGTTTTTTAAATGTTTTGAAAATAGCTAAAACACGTGATCATTATGGAACCTTTACGTTCAAGTTTGAAATTAAAAGTAATTAATTGTAGCGTTGACTTATTAGAAAAAAATTGATATTCGGCTCTTGCAGCCGGTTCTTGCCGAGAAGTGAACTTGATCGAGGAATATTTTGCTGGCTCAGGAACTCGTGTGCCAGCGTCATGGCAACGCCGCTACCGGTTTATAAATACAGTCAAATAAACCCCGTTAATACGAACAATGAATGGGTCATAGAAAGTGTTCGTATTAACGGGGCGTCCGTATTAGGCGGGTCATGTTTTAAATTCAGAAAACATCTTTTATTAGAACGAAAGGCTAAAGAGAAGGAAAAACATTAAATTCAGTAATAAAACATCTCTACCCTTCACAAAGCCGTGACATTCCGCTGACTAAATCTACGGAAACAACACAGACTGCTCATCTGTATATCACCTAATTAAAACCGTTCTCTGCGTAACTCGTAACTCGTATGATGTCAAAATAGTCTGAAATTGAGGTCTACAAAACAAGTCCTAAAATCCGTTACTGTAACCTTGGGAACATCGACATGCTGTCAACTGAAGGTTTTTTTTTTACCTTTCACAAAGGAAAGGCCTATTACAGCACATGGTTGACAAAAAAGCCGGTGGGCATTTTCGAGGTTGACTTAGACTGGACAAGCAACAAATGTCCTTAAACCCCATTTTAAACGTGTGAGTGTATTAAACGTGTTGAATTCAGAGAAAATGTACGGGCTTTCCCCGGGGACAAAGAAAACTGTCCGTAATGACGAGGTGTTCGGGTTAAGAGGGTGTCCGTTATACGGGTTTCGAGCGTATTGGCATATTTATTAACATAGCAAAAAAACTGGTCTTTATATATCATTGTTCATTCTGTAAAACTGTCCCTGAGTAAGTAAGGTGGAATTCTGATAACGAATTTTGTAAAGTGGCCGAGAAGATGATCGCAGATATGATTTCCCGCGCAAATTATATTCCAGAATGCTCAATCGCATACCTCATAGTTAATAAAACCTTTCAAATTCAAAAACGTTCTACTTAATAAATTTTAATAGAACTAAATAAATATCCCTCGAATAAGTAGGCGTGCGTGGTTACACCTTTAATTAAAGGAATCAGTTTCGAGCTATTCCTAGGATCAAATCCTAGCGCACATATAATCTTTCGTTCCCCGATCCCTTCACTCTCTATTTCGCAAAGTACCTCCGTCGGTCGTGCAAGGGTCAGAAGTAGCTAAACACAGGGTCTTTGAGTAGAATATTAATAGGGAGCTTAAGCAGCGACGTTTTTAAGCGACGTACCTCAACCGGAAGTGAGCTTTTTTCTCTTCACACTACCAAATATGTATGGCTAAGTGTCTTCACTGTTATTGCTGGTGTGCACGTGACGTCACGGCGGCCATGTTGGTGGTCAAGTACAAAAGCATTTCTCTCCTCTGGGAACTAAACCCTATTTTCTTGTAAATTATTCGAGCAAAATTTCTATAGTATTGACCCCCAACATGGCCGCCTTGTCACGTGGTTGCAAACCAAGAATAGAGACGATTTGCCCAAGAATTTGTTCCAAATAACGGCCAAAGGGTACAAAAATCACTTCCGCTCAAAAACGTCGTTGCTTAAACTCCCTATTAATAGTCTGATTTAACAACAGGACGGGAACGTCATTTGACGACGGGATAGCGCGCGGAAAGGACTAAAAACGACTTCCGGTGCCCAATTTCCCGCTCTGCCATTGGTCAAGCCAATTGTTTAATTTGCGCACGCCGTCGTCAACTAACGTTCTCGTTCGGTTGCTAAATCAGCCTATTGCTTGTCCCATGAGCCCAGTTTAGTGGCCGCTAAGTTCCCACAGGTCTCTTGTAGCTCAAAGGTAGAGTAGAAGTCATAGGTTTGACTACTATTGGGAGTACTCTTCGAGCCGCCTTTGTCACTGACGCTGAAAAAACATCTGGGTGCTCTATTTCAATAGAAATTGGACCACTCCTCTGGTTCTTATGAAAATAGTGGAAGATTTATTTATAGTGATTTTAAGTCTCCTGTACTTTTAAGGAAATTGCACAATGCGGACCAGCCTGTGTTCGAGACATCCACTTCTGCAGTTACGTAATATGTTTTGCACAAAGTATGTCTGCTTCCGATCGATGAAGACTGTAATTGTACATTAGCTTTACACCGTTACGGTTAGGTTTCGTGGACGTTCAAGGACTTGATTTTATAAACCTATTTTCCATCTCTCCTAATTTTCTGTGTTTCAACTTTTCGTGCTACACAAAATGAAAAATAAACATGTCAACTAAATTGGTTCATACAACAGCAAAAACGATTGTTAATTTAAATTGTGATAAAGTCGTCTTAAATAATCTGTTCTGAGGTATGTTTAAGGGGGCAGGACTTACCTGCCGTTTTGTGCGAATGTTCCCTTCTACTGTTGTCCCAGAACGGCACGGATGTAATCGCCATGTTTATTAACCGAGTAAAACGAAATATAAATCGCAATCTGGAGGAATCGCGAGGGTAGCATGCTAAGAGGATTAAAACTGAAAAATGGGCTAAACAACAGTCACAAGGTGGCAGGTATTCTACATGCCTGTAGTGCCAGGAAATTAGATGTCAAAATCCGTAGTCAAGACTAATCCGTTTGTAATATTTTGCGCTAATTAAAACGAGACGACTGCTCTTATAATTAGTAGTAGTGGAGGCTAATTAGCTTAGTAGGTCGTTTGATTTACAAAAAATAAACGTGAAACTAAAACAAGATACCACGCTGTGTATTTCTAAAATAGCGGAATTTTATTCATTGCGACAGAACTCAGATAACCTGATTAATGAGAAAAAGAGAAAGCCAAAATGGTCAATTTCGAGTCAATTTTTTAATTCTTTTTCTCTCTTTTTATAACGACACGCAGAAAAGCTATTTGCCCGTTGCAAAATAAATTTATAAACTAGGCTTGATTAAATAGATTACATAGATAAAAATGGTGCTTGATTACATACTAGGCAAATTAGTTTTGTACGAAGGCAGGAGCCCATCATTAGTCATAGGCTCTTGACGAAGGCAGATTTTAAACAAAAAAGAATTTCTCATCCAAAGTGAAAAATATGAGAAAACGTCTGCACAGTATATTCAGTG